TTGGACATGAAATGGGCAATCCATATTCGGGCACTCAGACTAACCGAGAAACTGTAACTTCTCATGGAGCACAGTTAGAACTTAGACTTTCCAGCGCTTTTCTTATCCAATCCTGTCCTCTAGCTAGAGTGGGTGTGTGTGACCTTTTTTCCTTCATTTTCTTTTTTTTTTCTTCTTTTTTTCTCAATTCTAAATTTATTTTATTTTTCCATTCCAATAATCGATGCTAGCATGCTTTAGGAGGTGATCGACAACTGGGGATGTCATGCACATCAACCCGTACCCTACACATAGCGATGATATTAATGGTAGCGACCCTTGTCCCGAACAATACTCCAAGGAGACAAGGGGCCACCTTCGCGTAAGCAATTTGGATCTAGATACGAAAAGTAGCTATGGCCATCTACCTATGAAAGACAAGAAAATATACGATTGCCTCATCGGCAAATCCTTCTGCAAATCTATGCCGAAGAGCAAAGATGTCCCATCACAGCACATAATTCTCCCTCAGTGCCCCCACTGTATAGGTACTTTTGCTTTGTCTCAGGCTCTAGTGTAGATCTTCACCATGGATGTAATAGTGATGTAATGACATGACCACACGATTAATAATGGCAGCAGCAATAATACCTCTAAGATCTCCAGCCAAGCCACACCATACTGCATATGTCTAACCCCTTGAGCCAGCGTTGTATGTACTATGGAGTTGTCTGCCCCGCAGCTGACTCCACCGTTATTACCTATTGTCCAGTCGCGCCGCAGTAATAATAACATCATCGACCGCTACTGCACATCCAAACGCAGTCCAAGAAGGCTAAAGCTAGATTACCAGTTAGGTGAGACTGATGGATGAGACGATTGAGGACTATCACTAGTCCGGGCAGTGATTGTTGGTCGTTGTTTAACGGTTGTGTAATATGGATGAGTGGGTCCAACCCAGAAACCCAACTCGCGATAATAATAAACACAGCGTAGTACTGATGCGGGCTTAGGAGCGGAAAAGGATGGAATGGAGACACCCCAACCATGCCCGTAAAATGTTCCGTAAGCAATCATCCATGTCCCAATACTATTGCTCAGCAGTCAAGGAGAAATCTTGATCATCTTGGCTGTCTTGGCAGGAGAGTAGCGGGGCAGGGTAGGAAATGAGATACTGCTAGTAGTCTACTAGGCTGATGGTAGTGCTTGTTGCACTACAATTTTTTTTTTTTTTTTTTTTTTTTTTTTTTTTTTTTTTTTTTTTTTTTTTTTTTTTTTGGCCTGAGATTTTATTTATTTATTTATTTTGGGCCGAATTGAGGTCAGTTTCCTCAAAAGGTTCAGAGAAATCAACCTAAGGATGGGGATGCGTTTTCTTGTCACATGCTAGCTACCATGGAACGTAAGTAGTATTTGGAATCGGGACAACCATGGGCCCGAAGCTGGCCGTTGATGATGTACATTTCATGTTTATAAGGAGTACGGAGTATGCTGGATGGTCGAGACTTCGTCGATTTATCCCCGAAATGCCGAGTCTATTGTTGAAACCATACGATCTATGATCTAGCAGAGGTTCCTGGGTCTCGACCAGCTCCACTAACTAGCAACACAGGTATCAGCTTTGCTCTCCACAAGCAGGACCGGGACTACTCACGTTCCCGCTGCGAGTTTCACTGTTTACTTGTTATCTTATTGGCACTTCAACTTATTTAGTATAGACTATTTCGAGTACAATTTGATTATGCACATTGTCCAGTAGCATGTCAGTCCATACTTAAAACAATTGTCTATTCCGTAGGCGCCATACCATTGCCTAGATACTCAGAGTGACTCAACGTAATAAATACAAACCCACAATTAAATAAGTACGTCAAGCTATAGTGGATTGCTTCAGGGCGGACCTAATCGCCAACCACCCTTCTGGATATTCAAGTCCCCCTCTCAGAGAAAATAGTGAGAATAAAAAGTGGAGGGGCATCTCCGCACTGGAACAGAAGATCCAGTCCAGGTATGGAACTCGAACACGGGCCAAAGAGCCGCTTACCGTGTTTGACCTAGTGGCAGGATAAGTAGGTGGGTGTAACGGGATATCCTATTCAAGTTGTCATTCTGGTCCGTCACCGAATTTACTGGATTCGGATTGGACATTGGAAGTTTGCTCCCTTGCCACCAATCATGTTGTATACATGGTCTCTGGATGTCGTGAATTGGGGGCATCTTACAAGTGCGAATATCTTTTTCCCTATTGAGCATTCCCTTTTGCTTACTCTTAGTATTCCGGCGTTGATATGTACCTAGTACTCCGTAACTTGTTGCTAACTACCTTAGGTCACTAACTTGAATACTACCCTACTTTCGTTAGGTCCCCTCATACATACTTGTAGACCGACCAGAACAGAGAATGGAGTACTCTCTCGACCTAATACTAATAGTAGTACCCGTCTATTCCTTCAAATAACCAGTCAGATTTTAGCATAGAAAAACATGTGATCCGAGCCCTAGGGTTAGCACTAAGAGTGCAACCGGTTCTCCGGCCCCACCATCCGACGCCGAGCAAGTATGGAGACTCTTTAGACAGAGAGCCCTTTTTTTTTTTTTTTTTAACAGCCCTTTGGTTCTCCAGAACTGATAGATGCCAGGCTACTACCAACGCTCTCGAAATTGGACGTATTATGAATGGGTGGGTTGTATCCACAACCATCCTAAGAAAAGGGTGCAATAGTTGGAAACGAAGTCGTGCGACTGCAGATATCACCCACCAACTGGAGGCACACAGGTAGCACACATATACGGAGTACCTACATACATAGAGGCTGTCAGTATTAATATAACTGACTCGCAGCATCTATCATGTTAATAGTTGTCAATACTTCGTACTGCGTGACTGATCATTTGCTCGCTGCGTCGCTGGAAATTAAACATTCTGCATATTTGAAAGGTCATCCGTTGAGACTCTTAGATAAAACAAAAAGAAAAAAATAGTTGTTTTAAATCTGAGTTAAGGCCATGTCCCTGTTCGTTTATTTCCGATGCACTGACACATCAACCTGAACTAACAGCGGGTGATTATCGGGCCATCCCAGTAGTGGATTGCGGGAGACCTGTTAAAATCCCCGTCCAGGCGTCCACACCTTCCACTGGCTGATCAGGTAAACGACGGCTGTTCTTTGGAGTCGAGAAGAGAAGGATCGTCTGTAGAAGGCCCTAGTTATGCAATGCTGTGGGAGGTCTGAATTCCGACGCGTACACTCCATCCAGCATGTATGTCCCTGGCGAAGAAAAATAATGTGGGCAGCATCGCCCATCGGAAAGTCTAAATATTTTATCGCCGGGCTGAACACTCCGTATGAAAAATTGCAGATTCGCGATTGTTTCACTTGGTCTAGTTTGTCCATCAAGATGCAGAAACGTTGACTACCACCTAGTAGATGAATCCATCACAAAACTTCCTGATAACACAGTTGTAGGATCAGTAGATACATCTAAGCATATTATGGGGAAATGCATGAATGTATGTATGTATAGTCTAAGTTAACAAGAACATTGCTGTTATTTTTATTTACTTTTTTTTTTTTAAAAAAAAAAAAGCACTGTAAGAATTATACATGACGATACTAGTAGCGATTCCTTCCGAGACCCCGAAGGAATAAGTAGCGACACCACCCAACCAACCAATTCCTTTCCCTCTTGATTGGAAGAGAATAACAGCCATGTTTCGTCATAGTCATACCGGGATAATGGTGGTCTTGGACGGCAACGAAAAACGGAGGTTATGCTCGAATGGTGCTTATAATAGATAGATAGGTACGATGAGTAAGGTTGCAGTTTTCGGCCGGTTTTCTTCCCTATTTCAGTCTTGATTAAAAAATAAATAAAAAGATGAAAGATATTATTTGTGGGCTACCTAGGACGATGAGGTCAAATCCAAATTAAAATCGAGGCCGATATCCGGGGACTTGTATAGAGTTCTATCTATGGAATACTCAGGTACCTACAGAATATCGGTCTTGTCATACCTCATTTTCGAGACGGGGCTATACCTCACTTTATTATTATATTTAAGTTATCTTGATGCGTACCTCCAGGCATTGTCAACCACCACAAAGAAGGGGGAAAAAAGAAAAAAACGATTGACAGATGAAAGGATCAAGGGACCCATGCCTTCCCGTCGATTCCCTGCTGCTTTAGACGTGCGTTGATAAAACATGTCCGTCCGCCCCGCTGCGGGAGAGTTGCGTTAGAATGTGCCTATAGGATCCCTGTTACGGAGAACTGCTAGACGAGAGCCAGAGATTGCAGTGCTCAATACGACTCTACATGTCCGGAGCACAGTTTGCCTCGGAATTGAGTGGACAGACACCCGATTATCAATCAACGGTCAAATGAGGGGGAGAAGAGAAAGAAAAAAAAACTTCATGGTCAAGATGCAAAGTTAATGCTACTGAGGGAGGTACTCGATCCATAGGTACAGTACATACATTATCAACACGGGTTGAGGAACAAGTCCCTCTGCGTTCTGTAGGAATACCCAAGTTGGTTTTTGTAGTACAGAGCATATGACAACTTCGCTAAACGCACCCGAACTGCCTGGGCACTATAGGCTAGTGTTGCTTTATATCACAGCAGCCAGTCAAATGATCAACGGAGTATCTACTGTGTAACCACTTTCAGTCAGAAGACCATTTTGCATTTCCTTTGACTTTTTCGCCTCCCCAGTACTACTAATGGGGGTTTCTTTTGTTTGCCAAAAGCTCATCCAACTTCAAGCGTACGATGATGTAGCCTGCACCAACCATCCTTAGAAAAGATATTGTTTGCTTGATTGCTACCTTGTTCAATCGGATATTATAGCCAATAACTTATCTGAGTCCTTCCTCATCAAGATCATCTGCTGATTCTACACTCAGGCCATGTTTCTTGATGTATGATTCAACTTTGCTTGAGGTGTCACGTGTACATGACGGCACTTATGCAGTAGGGGGGAGTGAAAAACATCCCTAAGGATACTTGCATACCGTAGCTCATACCTCGGACTTCACAGGCTCTACCAAGTTGGCTGTTTTAGAGGGTTTCGACTCAGCTGGTCCCTCGATTGCTAATGGAGAATCATCATCTTCCTCTTCATCATCACTCGAAAAATCGTCCAGTTTACGTCCGCGGCGACGGTCCTCCTCTCGACGTTGGCGCCGCTCACGTACATATTCGCGGTAGCGGGTATCTGGATCTGTTAGCATCGACAGAACTACCCTGTATACCCAGGACCAACTGCGTACCTCGAATCTCTTGGGTCTTGACTGCATACGCTTGGATTTCCTCTTTGCTCAAGACCCGTAAGACGATCACATATTCCGGTCGCTCCTCAAATCGTTCGTGACCCGCTTCCAATGCTCCAGGGTTGACCAGCCGACGGTCAATCTTGGTCCACCGGGCGCCAGGAGGGATACCTTTCTTATGAGCATCTTTCAAGGGTGCCACGCCCTCTCTGACTGGATTCGGCTCCTCAGGGAACTTATCCCGAGGGGGCTTGAGGATCCCTTTCGGCGGAGCATCAGGATCTTTCGAGGGCCCTGATTCCGATTTTTTAGATTCATCTGCACGGCTCAAAGACTCTCTCACACTGCTGTCTTTCGCGGGAGGAACATCCAGTTTGCGACGCCGCGAGTGAGATCGACGCTGGCGTAGGTGCTTGACCGTCATGTGTGACAATTCCTGGTCGCTACCGCTAGAGCTGTCTGAGCCTGGCTTTCGACGGGCTGACGGTTCTCGTCTGTATTTCTTCAAGTCTTCATCTGATGAGTATGCGTCTGAGTCAGTTTGCACCCTGCGTCTCGACGGTCTGCGCGACCGACTGTGCTGTCTGATATAATCCCGATCGCGGTCATCCAACTCGCGAGTGTGGTGACGGTCGGTCCGCGGAGAGAGGTCGTAGTCAAAATCGTCCGTATATCCACTAGCCAGGACTGCCGTTCCTAGGCCAGTCCCGGCCCCCGAGACCGAAGGATCTTTAGTAGAAGGGCTTCTAGACATGTGATCGTCGTAGGATTGCCGACTGCCTCGATCATCATCTAGACGCCTATGTCGCCGGTGGCGACGACGACCTTCTTCGTAGTCGTCTCTGTAAGAAGAATATCCTTCATCGGGATCCTGGTGCAACAAAACCTGCGCTCGTTGCCACGACCGTCGGCTTGTCCCAGGTAAGTCCATATCGCTGCCCACAGAGCCTTGGGTGGAATGCCGTACTCGTCTATCCCGTTCAAGCTTGTCGAAACCCCGTTGTGAAGGCGGTGGCCCTAGCCGAGGCTCTCTCTTAGGAATCAATTGATGGTCATCAATCCCGGTTAGACTTAGAGGCCTCTCCCGGCGATAAGTGACTCGGTCATAGCGCAATCTTGCAGCGGAATCTTTTTCAAATTGTTCTCGGGGATTGGTATATGAATAGGCGCCATAATCATCAATATCCTCCCCTTTCCGAAGACCTCCTGTAGGTGGATATCGCCAACGGCTATTTGGTTCATACCCACTGTAGGCACCACGGGGGGCTCGAATTCTTGTCATTCGAACGTTCGGGTCCAGCCGTCCTGTGTCGCTAGTATAATCGGTATGAGAGAGGGGATGACGATGATGGTATAGGGGAGAGGCAGCTGGGACTAGATAGCGTTCCTGGCCTGGGAGAGGGCTAGGCGAGCGGCGATAGTCGGACATGATCATAGGGGAGGCTCGAGTAGCGGGCGTATCGTGTCGTCCCGGGCCATATTGAATGTCTGCAATAGAGGTGGTGCTACTGCGCTGTCTGGGACGGATGGCGTACTCAGTTCTTAGCTTGGTGGAGTGGCTAGGATCTCGGTAAGTCTTAGATGAAACCGGCTGGGCTTCCAGTCTCGGCTCCCTCGCGAGTCGGGGGTCGTAAGCGTTCATATAAGGAAGATCGGACGGATAGCCCGCATACCCCTGACGGTTTGCAGATGCATCATAAGAGGAGCTGAGCTGCACTGTTCCGGTAGAGGCCCGCATAGGATCAATCATACGTGAGCCGCTTGGAGACATGGGTCGGTAACGTGCAGCCGGACCCATTCCGAACCCTTGCCGCTGACAACAGGGTGTGACGATGGAGTATATGCGCAGCGCTTCGACCGATGCTAATGGGAAAATAAGTGGCGGTGAGGATTAGAGAGACTAGGACTAGCTGGTTGGTGGTAGTGTGGGAAACAAAATGAGTAAATAAAATGAGTGTAGAAACAGGAAGAAATTGCGGGAAGCGTGAAGAAATAAAAGAACTTCACAGTATGGGAAAGCTTCGTCGGGCACCAGGCCAGAAGGACGAAGAAGAAAAGATACGAAAAAAGAAAAAAAGAAAAAAAGAAAAAATAATCGTTGGGAGGCAAAAGATTCAAAAGGAGGGATTGCCGCAGAGGGGATGTCTGATCTCACAGGCTACTCTGAGTGGCAATGAGGGGAAAGATGGCAGTTTAAGAAGCAGCTTAAAGTAGGAATAGGGGATGAGACGGTGGGTCTTCTAAGGGGAGGAGTCGAGAGCAATCAGCCGAAGCACGAGAAATAATAACAATAGTGATGATGAAGCTACGGAGTCTGGGATGTCGAATACTTGAAACTCTAACAATGGCTGTCTTTTTCTCAGCAAACGCGGGCTTGACGACAAAGAGCGGAGGATGAGGCCAAGCCAATACTTCCAGTCACTCAATTACGGAGGTCCCCGTGAAACACTGGGTAATCGTATAGCATGCCACGACCGTCCGCCCCAGCAGGGCTCCCTTAACTGTCCATCCAAATGTTTGAGGTGTCGATGATAATCCTTGGTTGGGTTTATCCTTTGGGATATCATATCCATTTCCTCCGCCAACCGTGGTTGTCCTCCGTTCGGAGCCGTTTTCCGTCTTTCGGCAGCAGAAAACATTTGGATGCGATCACGTAAGCAGCGCGTAGGTGACCGCCAGTCACGCGTCGATTGCCACAACTCAATCGCTTCGTTTTTGCCCAATTGGGCCTTTCAGATCAATCCCGCCAACTACCTTGGACTCGGATTCCTAGAACCCCGACGCTCCATGGAAAGTGTCGGTTTTCTGATCTTTCTATCAAGCTTCACGCTGCACAACACTCCTCCTTGCCTAGTACGCCCTTACTATAGTGCAGGATTACTATGGTATACCACCCACCGCGGCTGACGGGTTCCAAGCAGCCCTTTGTCTCCACTGCCCCTCCACTTTCAATCCACGATGACTAATCTACTGGCCGTTTTTTAACGTATTTATTCTATGACGCACTTGTTAGCTTCGGTCGCTTCACATCGTCCTTGTTCTTGTCACGGTCATGAGCGGAGAAGTCCCAATTGCCCCAGTGCCAAGGGGCGAAGCACTCGGCCATTGGGACCCACTTTCGGTGTGAAGTTGGAACAATATCAGTGGAGCATCGATGACCATGACATCATCCAACCTGCTTGCATTGCTTGCAACAGACTTATTCTGGTGGGGTTTTCTGGAGCCAACAGCCAGCTCAAGTAAAATTAAGGAACCCACAAGGCACTAGTGGGGAGGGGTCTTCTAGAAGTATTTACAGAAGTGCAATGCATGATTATCTGCAGTCACCCGTCAATCTATCTTGATGACAGTGCTGACTATCTTTCCAGATTCATGTCTGAAATAGGATTCAGATCTAATGAAATCATGAAGTATTCTATGGTACCCAGTTCCGACTCATGTAAGGGGGGGTTGCCTTCCTCACCCTAATACATGGCGGGCAAATCGGGTACACATTGCCCCATCGTCAGGCGCCTGATGGGTAGTGGCGAAAGAATGCCCCATTTCACCCGTTCCAAAACGATTAGGCATGAATCTCTCAAGCCGTCGGTGTCTTGAAATCGATCAACAAAGTTGGACCGTAAGACTCTTTGCGTTCTTGTTCCCCACAATGACTGCATCGCTCATGCGACTCGACCATATCGTGCCCTTCACCCGGAGGCACAAAAAGGGCTTGCGGGATTTTCTTTTAACTTCGCCCGTGCCCATGGCAAAGGACCCGTATGTAGCCGAGGTGTTCACTTTGTTTCTCATGGATGAGATTATTCAACCAGTTACTACCCCTGAGAAGACTCCTGTATCATCACGAACAAGCTTGAGCTGGCATAGCGACATAATTGCGAAACACTTCAGGGTACATCACTGGGGCCAATAGTATATGCACCGCCTGGGATAAAGGCTATGCGGGATTGTGCTGATGAAACTAAGGTTGTTATCGGCCAAAATGGCATGAATATGGCATCTTAGAGCTTCATGATGCACAGTTGAATGGTTTAATATTCCTAGCCGCACCTCGATTCCCCCTAGAGTCAGATTTGGTACTCAATGATGCTTCAGATCCTGTCGACTCCATACGTCTGATGAATGACTTACCGCTCAAAACACAGCCTCAGTTCACCCCAGGGCTCCTTCGCAGCGGCCAATAAGCCTTTACTTGCATCCTCCACGTACGATGGAGGGTTCATCCATGTGCACAATACAAGATCTGCCATTCACTGCCACAGGCGCATGAGGTTCTTTTTTACCCCTGGCTTAGCTTCTACTTTATCTCGGGAAATGCCAACATCAGGCGTCATTGAAATTGTGGCTTCGACGAAGCTTCCCCCGGATTTGATTCTCCACGTTCATCATTGGTCGGGCGAGATTTGGCTTAGCCACAGCATACTACCAAGCCGCTAGGCCTCCGGGGCCTCTCTCTCTCTTCTGTCGTGAACTTGGGCAAAATGCATCACCGATGCGCCATGGAAGGGCAAATTGGGTAGTAGGACCCGATGCCGGGCCATTTGTCGCCCGTGGTGGACTTGGAATAAGGTACATGAGAAACATCATTTCTCAGTCAAATGGCTGGTATATATTTTGAATTAAGCCAGTTCAATTCCTTCACTGTATTACCCAACAATTCAGTTAACCGTCCAATCCAAGAATTTGAGTCTATTCACGAGCGTAGCTCCCACCTACTACCGAGACAATCAGAACCAGTCCTATCAATTCAAGCATAACTGCTATTGAAACCCTCCACTCCTAAAACCGAGAGATAACCGCAGTCCTTGACATCTTGTATATCTTAAAACCCTTGACCATATCCGGGTACTTCTTGTCAATTCCTTATTCGCACCGCCTTCGAGAATGGCACAACGCTCATCCATCAGCAACCGACTTGCCCAAGATTCCGCCCGACCCACAATGGCCGGATGGTGGATATGCTGCAGCTGTTCGAGTGAGAATAACCCTTCGTTGAGCATGGAGAAATGCACAGTCTGCAATCACATTCGATGTCTATATTGTGCCAAGGCTTGATGCGCGAAGTGTCTTATTTTTGTGGACTCTATTCGGACTTTGTATAACACTTTTTCTTCCGCATTTTCTTTTCTTCCTCTTCTCTTCCTCCTCTCTTCCCATTATCTTACCAAAGCCGTTTCATTCAGTTGTGCTTTGGTATGCTGTTCTTAATTTTTTTTTTTTTTTTTTTGGATAGATCGTTGCTGCTTATATTTATGATTCTTCTTGATTTGTTCTTCTTTTCTTTCTTTTGTATATTATTCTATGTGTTGACTTATTTATCATTTGTTTATGTATTTATTTTTTTTTTGTTGGGGTTTGTTTGTACCTTTTATGTTTTTATGATTCATAGATTCGGCATATATATATATAGCTAGCTCTACAAGTTAAAATCCAAGAATAAATTACTTCAACTTGATAAACTACCACGTATGTAGGGCATCACCGATATGTATCATCTCTAACCATACAGCTTACATGTGATCGGCAGTAGTGTCAATCTCTTGGGAATTAGGTTTTATCTAATTACTGGGTTCCATTCTGGCTAAACAATTTTTTTAAAAAAATAATACTGTTATTGAAACGAAAAGGGAAAAAATGTACAGGTAATCAGATTCCTGTCCTTCAGCTTGGTAATGAACTAAACTATTTGTGCATGTAGACACATCGAAATATTCTAATTAATAATACATATCAATTATGACGTCTACGCTTTCTGCGTTTGCGTTTATGTTTCGATGACCTATCAGTAGGCTCAACCTCAGGGTCAACAGAGGATTCTAGTCCAGCATCTTGTTTTAGCCTCGACACCACCGGCCCAACTGCGTAGGCACTTTCTTGACTGTTGTGGTCTGCACAGGGGCTGTGCTTCAGGGGAAGTAACCAGTCCAAAAGTGAAAATCCCAATACCTGTTGAATATTCCTGATCGGGCTACCAAGGTCGAACGGATTCTCGCCAGGTTGGGTCTGGAGAATCGCGAATACGTGCCGCTCCTCTGCGGGCTGATAGCTCTGATATCTTGCTGCGGCTTCTGGGCGGAGGGGCACTGGTGGAAGAGGATAGGTAATTGTGGGGAATGTCGGAGCCCATTGGGACTGAGGATGCAGCTTCTTGAGTATGTGGTTCGGCACGCGAATGGCTAATGTCCACACCGCCGAGCGACGATTTATATTCTCAATCGTCGTCAAGTTAAACATAGCAAGTTGTAAGGAACTTAAAGTCATCCCAAAAGCGAATAAGCCAAAAAGACCACTCCTATGGACAATTAGATAACCAGGATAAAATAAAATGCACTCTCGTATGTAGCCATGCCAAGAAGGTGGGAACGGAGAACTTACAATCCAATACCAACAGCCAAATGGGGGTTGACATCAACGTTCTTCATCAGAGGTCAAATAAGCACAGATTCGGCAAAAGAAAGAGCAGGGCTGCGGGACTCACGTCTCTTTTCAATTCGGCAACGAAGTACGTGCAAACTATTAAATTAAACAGGCAGAATATCATTGTATAAAAGACGAATTGAATGAAGAATTTGAAAGACGTTTCTGAGACCACCCCTCCAACCCTAGATACCGTAAGCTATGTTCCACTAAAATGGACGAATACAACTCACCAGGGGCAGAAGTGATCCATCTTGCGAACACATCTGTCCACCTCGCGACAATGGTGTGCCCTGTCCATTTTGTATTGATTGCATGTGGAGCAATACAAGGGACGTCCATCCAGTTGGCAGACAAAAATATCTTTCTTATAAAACTTTTCCAGGCCTGCCGTGTCCAGCGCGAACGCATTGCTCCCAGCGTAGTACTCAGATTCTCTTTCAACATCTACCTCAGCCTCTTCTGTCTTCTCGTTTGATTGCTGACGACTCGTTCCCCTCCCATGGCTATCGCGTCGGTTTGCGCGGAGCCTTTTAGCAGCACTTTCGTTGGTCTGAGCAGATTGGGGGCCACGAGGCAAGAATCTGGGATTCCCGATGACACTATACAGGAGTCTGAAGTACGTCGAGAGTACAGGAAACAACAGTAGGTAGAAAATGACAAGAATGGCAGCACCCGCGTCAGTCCGCGATCGGCGATTATATTTGGGTAGAGGGTGGAATAGATAGTCGACTGTTTTTGAAGGATTCAGAAGAAAGTCAGATGGCTGAGGCACATTAATACGGAAGAGGTACTTACTGCAAAGTTGTTTGGTGATAGCATAGCAGGCATAGATCACTACGCCAAGCAAGACCGGAGGTATGAGTCTTGCTACCACTTTATTAACGCGCTTGTCGGGGCGCGCCATGTGATATACGCCGGCGGAGGATACTCACGTCTCCGCATTAAGGATTAAAAGGGCAAAGGTCAACTCAAGGGAATCGCAACTGCATCCATATTAGTGCGAACCAAGAAAAGAATTATGTACAACCACTGCGCAGAACACTAGACCACTGGGCCTGAGCCCTAATCTAGATAATGCCTGCCTAGGATGAGAATGAAAATGATGAGGCAACGATGTTGCAGTAATGCTGGGAACTTGGGCGTGACCAGACAATGCAAACAAGACAAACCAGGCAAACAATAAGCATGACGTATTCCCTGTTCTATACTTTGTTTACTCAAGACTATGTGATTTTCCCATTGGACCGCATACTGTTTTTTGTCCTTTCCTCTCTTTTCTTTTTTAATACCAGTAATCATTACGCTGGCTCCTGTAACTGGGATCTGGTAAAACAGTGAAACCAGGGAGAATGATTCAAAAGAAGGAAAGGAAAGGCAAGGAAAGGAAAGGAAGAAAGGCTCCATCTTTGAAATCAAAGGATACAGGATTTGAGATACTGCGACCGAGTCAGGGGGTCTATGGAATCAACAATAGTTGCCTGGATTTCTAAACTCAAAAATTACAGTCACTCCGCGTTTCTGCCTTCTAGGATCTCACCTTTAGCAAAGAAATGGTCCATCCTAGACGGGTACGCACGTAATTGAGCAAGTTTACATCTCCAATGAAGCCACAGTGTACGGATTATTAAATAAAAACAACTTAATCCTATCTTGATCACTATATGCAAATCGCCAAAGAGGGCCTTGTGGGCTGCTGAAAAGTTGTATCCAGTCTTCTGATATGTATGTCGAACATGAGTTTGGAATATTCTGAAAAAATGTGGGAAGAAACGACTATTGCAAGTGAAACTGCCAGCATTAGACATGGGAGTACAAAAAAGATAAAAATAACACCAGTTTCATTCCGCGAAGTAAAGATAGAAAGAGCTAAAGGTGATAAGAAACATGTCTTCGCTAAGATGTTATGTCATAAAAACCCTTAGAATATGTACAGGCGCTTACTTGGGTTGATTCACACTTGGGAATTTGGGAATTTTTATTTTTTTTAATTTTTGTCCTCGAGTTGATCAGGGAGGAAAGGACAGTAAGATGACGATGGAACAGTCATCCAAGAGCCGCATGTGCAGGTGACCAAAGGAAGGCGCAGGCAGCAACAGTGTGCCTGGCTTAGTCGAAGTGTCACTGACCGACAAAATAGCGAGGGGAAAGTCAAATGCTCTGCCAAAAACGCGTGGAAAAATCGGTCAGAAGCAGAACATTCTCGAGCTGGGGTCGATGTCAGAGTTCAAACAGTTAATGATGCCTGTTAGCAGCTGTCGTTGCCTGAAAATTGGACCACAACTTGCTGCTTAGTAGGTAAGTTGAGTGGAGTCGCGACACTAACATAGTACGTACTACAATTCAGGCGTTCAACCCAGACAACGTGGAGACCAGGAACTAATTGGAGAAGCAATTTTAAAAAAATCGGAAGGATGAAAAAACAAATGACATGATGTAGGGGCAAAAAAAAAAAAAAAAAATCTATACTGAAGGGCAAAATGGCGGGGACCAGAGGGCATTCTGGGCTCAGACCGAGCGTTGAAGCCTTGTCAAACCGCCTGTTCGAAGGCCCCTTCAACGGTTCTGAGTCAACCTGAGTGCCTGTTCTGGCGGTGATTCCACCCAAGTTGCAGTATGAGCCACTATGCTGGAGCGTGGAAAACCGACCTAGACACGAACAATCCGGATCCCTCTGGGCCAGGGCAATGACCCGCCAAGACACTTTGGTATGATCTACTTCTTAAACCGCCCCGTTCTCTTGAAGAGATCACCTCTGAAGATGACTACGATAAAGATGGTTAGCCCGATTGGGGCACTGGGCTTTTTGCCAAATAGCAAGCCACACTGAGCCCTTGTGAGGGTGCCTTGCTCATTGTCTCTGAATCATACTTACCTACTACAATGAACTCGTTGGAATGTTTATAAAAAGCCTGAGGGTGGCTCTTCCTTTGATATCCTTTCTCACAACAAACAAGAGTCTTGACACTTATTAGTCTTTGCATCAACCAAACTACTTCTGTTGCACCTAAAAGCTTGATCATAATACTTCCGACCTATATATCTTCCGCCTTTCAGAGCTACTTGACTCCTAAAATGTCTGGTCATTGGTATTGCAACAACTGCAACTTTGGTCCTCACAGCGCTGAAATTCATCGATCTTGCCTCCGGTGTGGCTCTTCTCGAAGCTCCAACAGTGTATCCAGAGGCATTCGCTCTAACGACACTATCCACCAGTGCCACGAGATGTCCCCATACCCTGCTCCAGTACTGGGCAATGAGGCCTCCTCAACCCCACTGAAGGGAAGACCACGAATCGTCGAACATGGCTATGCTATCCAGCAGCCATCATTATTACACGCCGATGTTCACGACCACCATTCTTCTGGCCTTGCCAGCTACGGAATAGAGGGAGCCAAAGTCTACAGCCAAACCTATATGTATATTTGCTGCCAGTGCAACGATGGCCCAAAGACATACAATATGCAACCCAAGTGTATAGTGTGCGATCACGCTGCCTGCCCCCACTGCCACTACGTGAAGTGATTAGTATTACATGCCTGAGGTGAGACTCTTCCGAAGGTCTGCTAGCAAGCTGAACTAACGTATATAGTATAGATACCTTTTGGCAATGATGTATCTCAGCAGTTTATTTATGTGGATGTTTAACGATTTTCAGCGGGATCACTATGAGCATGACATGTGCAGGCACATGTATCGGACGGACATGGGTATGGGAGTTTTGGTTTTCATTTTTTAAACTTTTGCATGGCGAGGATAGGATAGACTATTGATCATTGGATTGTTGAATTCATTTTGTTCTTTTTTTTTGTCTGTCTTTCGATATGGTTTTGGATGGGGGCTGCAAAATTGTAGAGAGCTGGACTACTTAGTCTTGCAGCCGCGGAGAATGCCTTGAGTTTAGATTATGGGTCGTGGGGCCGACCGGATATTCTGCTGTGCTGCCTGTGCTACTAAATTATTTCTTCATTGTTATTGCTGCTTTCTAATATTACAATCATATCTCCTTCTATCGATATCTCATTTCCTCCTCTGTGTATTTTGCATCATACAGGTATCAGACTGAGACTGGCAAAAAGTCGAAAGGCATCCATGGAGCCTTGTCGCCTGGTACGTAACGGCCCGTATGGAAGATACCGGAGCCGACCCATGCATGTCCTTAGACCACATGGCGAGTTACCTAAAGTGTAAGTTGATCGGTCAATTCAGATACAAAAACGCACGGAACTATTATTAGTATGCTAAATAACATCTACATGGTAGTTAGTTTTGTCAGCTGTCATCATTTCACCAGATCTAACACCTTCCTGCCACCTGTCCCCTTTGATCATCTAGTAGGATAATTACAGCCATCCAATAGGTACGGTCGTAAAGTAGTTAGCATCGAACTAGCGGATTACAGACACGTGCGTCGATCACCAACGAAAAGAACAACTTGTGGTGGTTGTCCTGCCCCATTCTTCCTACAGGAAGACTGACCTGTAAGAGCGAGGTTTAGTCCGAGCCGCAAGTCTTGGTCTACCATTCTCGAGTCGCGATTCGACATTCAGACCTTGTCAGTCTTATGTAGATTATGCAAGCCAACTCCTCCCCATTGCCCGTTTGTACCCACATCACCGCCTTTTCTCCCAGCAAAATAGGGTCCACTACCCCTACCGGCCGGGGCGAAAAGGCGGTCTCCCATCCCGGACGCCCTAACCCCTCCTCCTATCAACTATCCAACGATTGTCGCGGATTTTCCACCATTCTGGCAGTTCAGCTCCGATGCGACGCGACGCGACATGATATGCAAACGAAATAGGTCCAGAAGAGGACATGACATCCGGAAATGGAATTAATACGATCGGGGCCATCGTCCTGCGCAATATGCACGAGAGGCTGTGTTTTGGAATGTCGTGCATTGATTGGGGGGCGGCGTGGAAGATAAAGGTGGTACAAGATAATTTTTGTTCCTGAATTAGTTACAGGTTTAGCGTCCATTATTGCCTTTGTTGATGATTGGGATTCTGTATGACTTTCTATCTGGTCGGGATTTCCATAGTTTTCTTTTTATAAAAATACCAACTTTGTGCCACGATACCTATTATTCCCGTCGCACCCGTATGTTAACTATCTACTTCCATACAAAGCCCTTCTACCTAGTAGAGAATTAGTTGCCGAATTAGTTAGTTGCTTATTCTAGCCTTGCTAAGCGCATCCTTGTGGTGCTTGTTCAGCTGGAATGTCCAAGGAGGACAGAAACTTCCACTTTTTGCATGGATTTCTACCTGCAACTTGGCTAATTCCCGACAGACCGGTGTCAATTCTGGAACCTGGAGAGCCACATGGTGGAATTCTGGCGCCATAAGGCCCGTAATAAGCGACAGGCAGCTTCCAACACAACTTGAGACCATATCAATAGTATACCATCCCTACCTATTCCTCTATTATATTTGAACCTTTGTACATTAACAGAAGCTGTGGACCCATGCAGGCTCAACGGGCCCCTTGCAATGGCTGAGCTGACTGCCTATAACCTGTACCTATCTAGGTATATTCGAACTTTTGGTTACTTTCCGTTGAACCCCATTGTTTATTCTCGATGGATCCCGGGAATATGATTTATGGAGCCTGTGAGATGATAGTGGCCTGGAAAGGAACCAACCACCATGGTCATATTACTGCGAATATTGTTCTTACTATTACTAATTAAGTAATGTGGAAATTAAATAATATTTCCACCAATAAGGCTCTGACCGAATTATAACTGATCCCAGGCTATCACTACGCTCGGGCACTGCATCGGAAATATCGCTTGGATTCTGGAACCCTGGAGACCTCCATAGCTACGAAGTACTGTCAACGAAGGTATGGAACCACGGACCGCGGACAACGGAGAACGGACAGCTGATTATCATCCGTTCTTGCTAGGGCCAAGATGTGAGGGATGATGTAATGCGGATAGCTCATCTTCTTAGTGTTCCTTCCGAGTTTCCTTGAAAGACAGTTGTATGTACTGTGTGGTGCGTAGGACTCTGAGTCCAATATCAAATTTTCTTTTCCCTTTTTTATTATTTTCTTCACTCTTTATCCTCTGAAACATGAAGGCCACACGTAGACATACTTGCCAGATTAAAAGAACACAAATTAACGCGTACATAGTAGGCATGGTCACTACCAAGGTGGAGTTTAAATGCTTATTGTACGGCTATCTCCGATTGGAGAAGGGCAGAACAAAGGAAAGATAAAACAAAAAAAGGGAAAAAAAGGGGAAAGAAAATAAAATTCTCCCCAATGACAGCCGCTTAGGAGTTGCACAGATATCATCCCAAACAGTTAAACTTTAAATTCAAATCTAAATATAGGTTTCATAAAGTAGGGTTCTAGGTTCTAAATTCCGACAAAGGTATACCATACCTACAATCAGCCCTACATAAATCATGGCACCGATAATGTACGACTACTTAAAATATCCACCATGCTGCAGTTCTGCGTGTCTTATTCTTCGGCTGTTTCATCACTCAGCTGAGACGTGCACAAACGATGAACAGACTTCCCCACAATTCAGCTGCGAATGCTGCCCGGGTTTCACTTCTTCCTGTTTTGGAGTTGTAACCCCTTCCTTCTATGGTGGATCCATGCATGCTTACCGTAAGGTACTTACTACTATACACTAGTACCAAAATTTAGTCGATAACTGGCCAGAACTTTCTCAGAATATAAAGTGTTCATCTTTTTTTTTTTTTTTTTTGACCTTTGTTCATAATCCATAATGACATCATCATTAACAAATCGCCTCTATAGGAATGTCAACTGTGACTGAGTCAGAAGAGTCACAGGACTGCGATGAGTCAAGCCAGGAGACAAAAAGAGAAATGTATGTACGCCCAAGGCATGTCCATCGGCTAGTGCAATCCTCGGATGATAGATGAGTCAACATGAACATATGCCTGCACTGCCTCCATAGCGGCTTCCCAAGGGGTTTGACGGGGTGAATCGATCTAGCGAACTTGGGCCACGGGCAAATGATGGGAGGCCCGAGGCCCTACTAGCCATGCCTCCAGCGATCCACGAATAAAAGCTCCGGAGTAAAGGCCCGTCTGCGCCACATCCTAGGCGCTAGACGCCCAACCCCTTGCCGTAGCCGCTAGTCACCTGGCGGGTCTTCCGTGTTGTGGAGCGGACAATACACAGGGCACTCTATAGTTATGGGAAATGCAAAGAAGCTGGAACGGATGCTATGCAATGCTCTTGTTAAACCGCTATAGCTATGTATGTACTCCTAACAACCCAAAACACACCGCCGTACTGTTGTTGCATTCGCCCACTTGTTCGGCATATCGATAATGTTCAGCTCATCTTTGGATGCCTGGACGGGTAGGCTGGGTTAACAATAAACTGCCCTAGATTTCTGAAGACCAGTCTATGGCCTTATCTATTGCCGAAGTTTTGGGGGAATCCGCTTACGCCCACCTCCTAAGAAAGGTGGGAGAAAAGAGAGGGAGAAAAAGTAAAAAAAATATGAGAGAGAAAAAAAAGAATAAATAAGAAAAAAGAGGTATCCTTCCAATGCTGTGCTCTTTCCTTTGATTCTCTTAAGCCAAGTAGCGATAGATTGGCCAAGTAGAATGGTAATTCCCACAGAGGCCAAAAGGGGATCTCAGATCCCGGAAGCATCAGAAGAAAGACGGGAATGCTGATTTGGCCAAGGTAAGAGGGGTGGGAAACAATAAAAAGAGGAAAGGGCTCCCTGGTCAAGCAAAGAGCATGGGTATCAAAGGGTCGAGAGGTGGAAAGAAATCCTGTTACTGCCATGACCAATATTAAGAAGGCGATCGCATCGCTTGGCTTGGTCTTGCACACTATTGTGTGCTCCAGTGACTCGGATTCCGCAGCTCACCTTGATATATGAGAAGTGATTCTCTCCGTTAAGGAGGGTCGAGTATAATGGTCAATGATTGTTACAAGGGTAAGATTCGTGAAGGGTCCTGAAGGAAGCGTCTACGGTATGCAGCAATCTCCGTAGCCACAGTATTAAAATCTTTCACCTTGTCGCGTCGCATATCGTTGATGATCTGCTTCAGCCCAGCGATGTAATGGTCTTTTTCTTCAGGCGTCTTGCCCTCCCGGAGAGAGCCCATCTGGACTAGAATCTTGTCATCTATCCAAGTTAATATCCCTGTGAGTCAGCACCCGCAAAATGCAAGTGAGCGAATTCATGACAGAAGCAAGCTGCAAAGGACTGGAGATCGGGATAATTTATGAGTGTATTGAATAAAGGATGAGTGGCAAAGATGGTAGAAAGGTGGCCAATACGGGCCACATAAAAAGGGGGGATGAACAGAGGGTTAAAGCTGATATAATAGGTAAGGGTTATGGCACATGAAAAGGTATTGCGTGCTGTTTGCTCAAATTGTCGACGCACCGCTAAGAGTCATGTCCCGAAAATGTTGGAATTCGCAAGATCTGTCGTTGCAGACACCACCTGCGGCCTCGAAAGGACAAAGATATTTCATGGGGTCAATATTGTGACTGTACGTTAAGGAACGATAGCCATCCGTAATTTCATCAGTATACCGGGGGTGGTATCGATAAGCGTTGAAATACTTTAGTGGACTAGCATATGGCGAAAATCTATGCTGTGAATCCTGTGTTTGTCGCGCATTCTAATCCTATGTCAGCGTCAACCCTATCAAATAAAAGTAAGTGTCGTCGTACATCCAGAAGGTCAACATGAATGTTCTCTTTTGGTGGTTCAACATCCATTTCCTGAACCTTTGCAGTTAGCGGCTCACCAGATTGTTTCAACTGATCCATTGGAGGCCTGTAACCCTCACTGGGTTCTAGTGGGCCAGGAGAGGGAGGACTGAAAGGGGGAGTATAGACCGAGTCAGCAGGGCTTGCAGTTGCCCCCGGCTCTGGAGGTTCATATGTCTCTGAGGCCGATGATAGACTGGAGCTCTCGTCCTCGGACATCTCGACAGGCTCGCTCGACTCTGATGATCGGTCGCCTCGGTTTTCAATATTTGATGTTGGTGTATGCTCCGGCGGGCCGCGCTCAGAATCTGCAGTCTGCTGGGCTATTCCTTCTCGGCTAGTATTTTGAGGTTCGCCTACCGCTTTAAATGAACTAAATTCCGAGGCAGGTACTTGCCCCTCGGATCTTTCTTGGTCAATAGACATAGAGTCATCACTATCACTGTCACTGTCACTGTCACTGTCACTAGACTCGTCCATAGCTGATCCAGCAGACTCGGATGAAGACATAGCGGACGACTCGTGGCTAGAATCAATTAGGTCCTCTGTCTCCTTGTTGATCGTGTCGTTCAGCACTGCGTCGGCCGCCATTTCTTGAGCAGGGACCGGTTCTTCAGTGAGACCTGTTTCTTTCTGGTTTTCAACCATGGGAGTTTCTGGCGATTTTCGGGTATTTTCATCTGACAGAACTTGTTGCTGTGATTGGGCTACAAAGCTAATGTTAGTCTAAATGGTCGCATCAAGTACCCCATGCTAATCCATTGGGGTACTGGAATTTACCAAGGTAACAATGGCAAATACATGAGACATACCTTGAAGTTTCGTGTTGCTACGTTGCTCATCGGTAAGTCTGGCCAGAGCTGCATCGATGTCATCCAAGGACAAGCCGTTTAACTCCAAGTTTATGTTACTGAGTTCTTCAGAGAGGTGTTTCCGTCCTTCTTTGCCTCTCGTGATCTCAAGTACCACCTTTTCTTCTTCGCTCTTTAACCCAGCCAGCCTTCCTTCAGCTTTGCATATTTCGGCATCCAGAGCAGGCACACCGGCCTCAATCTCCTTTTTGCGCAATAGTTTAGACTTCATCTTCTTGAGGTATCCAATGGTCATGGAAGATGAGGTTTGCGAGGCAGAAGTAAATGAAGATTCATTTTGAGTGGTAGAAGGGTCGTAGTGTGGAGAAGTAGTATGAGGTCTCCTATCGACATTGGTAGAAATAGATTTTTCAACAGCCGTAGAATCGATATTATAGGATCCAGTATCGGGTATGACAGAGGTGTCAGGAGGCGTTCTCATTGGCAATTCTACCGACCGAGGAGACTGCGTACGGCTTACAGAAATTTTTGCCTTTTTTCGTTGCTCGAGCTCAGCAATACGTTTGTGCATTGCTTGAATCTCTAGATGCTTTCTTCGGAGATGTTCTGGGTCATTGCCCCTGGAGATACTTGGCGGTGTGGTATGACTCTGGCTTGCTGATACCGGTCTAGGTGGCAAAGACTCGACAGCCGAGGGAAGCATTCGTAGCGATATCTCCGGAGCTGCAGATACATTTTCTCGAGTACCGTTCCCAGGAGAAGGCTCAATGGCCATGCTATCACATCCGTCATCATCCCCGTAGAATTCATCATCGCTGATATCGATAACAAGTCTCTCCCCTGAAGCCGCGCGATGCACTCCATTGCTGAATTCCTTTCTGGTAATGAGAACGGGTTCATCGAAGTCAGATGCTCGGGGGCGTTTGCGTTGATTAACGCGGGGCTGTGGCGTGGAATCAATTACAAGGCCTTGAACAGGTGTCACATATGACCTTTGTGGTGAGTCTTCCTTCGACTCTGTCATAAACAACCCAGGTATCCGAGCAGAAGCACTCGACTCAGGAACTGGAGGCCGTTCTGGCAAAGGATGCTGGATTGACGAGGTGTTGTTGACCGTGTTTGTATTTTGCATTTTCATACTCGACTGCTCTTGCTCTAAGGCTTTGGGATCTGCCTGCGACTTCAGCTGACCTCTCATAAGACCCTGTTTTTTAAGCTGCTCAATCCTCTGTCTCGCCAGCTCAGTTTGTGCTTTATTCTTTTCTTTGACTCGCACTTCTTTCTCTTTTGCAGGCGTTTCAAGCGACCCAGATGTTGTTTTCTCGACGGTCACGTTAACTGAATTTCCAGGCGTTGAGTCACCTCTAGACACTTCTGTTTGAGGAGTCCCCGAACCGCCTGAAGACTTGGCTGCTTTGGCGGCGAGCATACGAGCAATAACCTCCTTTCTCTCCATGGGCTTAGAAGCGTCTTTCTGCAGCGAGGAAGTTGAGGCCTCCATGAGGTCAGACTGCTGTGGACTCGTCTTCTGAGGCTCTTCCGTTTCGACGTGTGTCTGTCGTTTGTGCTCTTCAGACGACCTAGAGACGGGACTGGTATATCCGGAAGAGTCTGGCTGCACGGAAGGTGCAGTATCTGGTTGTGGCGTCGGAATCTTGATTCCCACTTCTTCATACAGCTGCTTAAGTATCGATGGGTTTATGCCTTCCCGAGCAAGCTCACTGTAGCGAATATTGTGAGGAGCTAAACCAAGAAGTGCTCCCTGCGCCTGAATCCGAAGTTGAGCTGGCGACTTTACAACCAGTGAAGGTTGCTTGTCGCGTATTATTTCGGCGGGCAGTTTTGGTGAGCTTATTGTCTCGAGACTTATCTTGTCTAACGCGTCGGTACTGATGGAAACTGGAGGGTTATATGCTGCTAAAAGTTAGTGCATTAGATTGGGCTTTCAATGAAGGAAATAAATTACGGGATCCACTGTCTCGGCTCGATGAGCGAGACTGATACGAAGACGTCTCGCCTTCCTCCCGATCCAAGGTCTTCTCTATTGCTCCCTTGTCCAGGTCTTTGGAACCCACAATTGTGGAAACGTTAGATTCAAGAAGCCGACTCGTCGAGAAACAATTCTCCCGGTTAACTGCTCGCGCATTGGGAGCGTGAGCGGTGGGCTGCAGTTGACTCCCTGAAGTTGCCGGTGTTGTGATCGGCCCAGTATTGGACAGAGTCTCCTGTGGCACTGAAAAGCCCTCCTCCTTATCAGAGAGTTCACCTTCCTCTCGATCGAAATCCTGCATTGAATTAGACATGGTCGCAGGTTGGGAATCGAAATTATTTAGAGGCACCGAGTTAGTGCGTGCTTGAAAACCACTGGTGGGAGGGCAGCTTGGCGGAGGGTTAAAGGCAGTTGGCACGGGCGGGTATCTAAGTGGTGGAATTTGAGCGGACGCAAACGGGGCAGGAGGATACTGGGGAGGCGTAAAGGTCCCCATGAAAGGAAATGATGGCGTGGGTAAGGTCCCGGCTGCGGGTGGTACCCCTAACCCTGGGAGACGGGAATTTGCGTTGAAACTAGCCTCAATATTATAACCAACAGGATGGCCGGTAGAATCTTGCGGTTGTTGAGGGAGCGGCGAAGTATTGTGATGGAAAGCAAGATTGGGCGATAGTAAAGACGGGATGGCGGTTGGGGGATGAGGATTAGAGGAAGGCCATTGTGCATGGCTTGAAGACAGCCCCGATGCTGGCGCTGGGGGATAATTAGACATCGTCATAGAATCTCAGCACGTTTAGGAACTAGTAGTATGATGCTCTCTGTGAGATGTAAGTAAGAGACCAGCCTGTGAAGAAGATACCATGAGTTCGGTATCGCACATCATCCAAGCCAGCATAGGCAGAATTCAAACTCGGGTCATGTAATTGACGTGGAACTTAAATCAGTATATGCATCGAGATTTCCACATGGGAAGGCTTTACAGGTTATTAGGAATACGCTTCCTTTGGGAGGGGCAAATAGGAGAAGAAGGGGGGACAAAAAGGAAGTGAGTGGTGTGGGAAACCAGGGAGAATAGTAAAAATATCAGGACAGTGAGTGATGTTCATCCAAAAATCAGATGCAGTCCCGTGCAGATCACGTGATATTAGCGTGACAGATTCGGACTAGGGCCTGATCGTACCGCAACCTGCCTGAGGAACGCAGGATGTAAACAAACAGTGCAGATAGTTCGCACCAAGCAGTCAGTGGAATTGCAACTTTGTTGCAGCTTCACCAAGTACATCCACCTTCCCCTTGTTCTTACAACCCCTTTGTCATCTTTCAATGTATAACTCTCTTGAATTTCATGGTTTACATAACAACCTGTGACTTACTAAGTCAGATCTGATGCCTTCGGTTTCTCGTTAAATAATGCTCGACTGAAGTCAGTACAATATGCTACCCTCTCAGTTAAATGGCTCGCCAAAGCGTGCCAATCCCTTTGGCCGCGCATCTCCATCTCCATCTCCCTCTTCTGCATCACAGACGAAAACTTCACGGCCAAAGTCAGTGATTGTGACTTCGCCGAGTAAATTCGAAGAAGCAAAAGGTCACTTTCGGAACTCGTCCTCTATTTCCCAGCTATCCCCAACTCCGCTGGGGCGACAGTCAAGACACCAAAGATCGAATTCGCTAAGAAGTAACGCTCCTACGGGAACGTTTGCACCAGAGTTCATCAAGTCCGAAGAACTTCGGCGAGGAGCAGATCAAATTCGAGGATTGGAAGGTGATAATGACTTTTCGGGTAACAAATACGTCTGGCTGCGTGATCCTGAAAAGGCTTTCATCCGTGGGCTTGTTTTAGGAGAAGGCGACAATGGACGGTTGTTAGTACAATGCGATGATGGCGAGGTACGTTTCGCGCCCTATCTTGATGATTTTGGATGTTTCTCACACACGTAACAGCAACGGGAAGTTGATGTAGATCAAGTTGACAAAGTCAACCCGGCGAAATTCGACAAGGCTGACGATATGGCCGAGCTTACGCACCTGAATGAGGCTTCAGTGGTGCATAATCTGCACTCTCGTTATCAGGCAGATTTGATTTATGTTAGTCCATTTAGTTTGGAATGGTATACGGCCTCGACTAACAAACAGGATTTCAGACATACTCTGGCCTATTCCTTGTAACAGTTAATCCATATTGTCCGCTACCGATCTATTCCAATGAATATGTGAAGATGTACAAGGGCCGAAGCAGAGAGGAAACACGGCCGCATATCTTTGCCATGGCCGATGAGGCGTTTCGCAACTTAGTTGAGGAAGGCCAGAATCAAAGCATTCTAGTGACGTAAGTTGCTCACTGGTTTCAAAGACGCCGAGGACTTGTATAACGTGCTATAGGGGAGAATCGGGGGCCGGTAAGACAGAAAATACTAAAAAGGTCATCCAATATCTTGCTGCTGTTGCGACATCAGACACACCCTACGCTCGCTCGGCAACGAAACAAATGTCCAGCCTCTCCCAGCAGATATTGAGAGCGAACCCAATTCTTGAGGCATTTGGTAACGCCCAGACGGTTAGAAACAACAATTCCTCCCGCTTTGGTAAATTCATCCGAATCGAGTTCTCCCGCTCTGGCCAAATATCAGGTGCGAATATCGATTGGTATCTCCTAGAAAAGTCACGAGTAGTGAAGCCAAACGCACAAGAACGGAACTACCACGTCTTCTATCAACTGTTGCGAGGTGCGGATCCAAAGTTGAGAGAAAACCTCCTTTTATCCAATCTTCAAATTGAAGATTTCGTATACACCAAAGACGGGAATGACAGCATTGTTGGAGTGTCTGATGAAAACGAATGGAATTCATTGATTGAGGCATTTCATATCATGAACTTCTCGGCAGATGAGCAAATGTGCATTCTCCGCACAGTTGCCGCGGTTCTGCATTTAGGGAATGTAACCGTTGTCAAGGAGAGCCTGCGCGCTGATCAAGCTGCTTTGGGCCCTGATTCTCTTAACAGTATAGAGAGGGCCTGTCAGTTACTGGGAATAGAGCCCGAGCCATTCGTGAAGGGCTTGCTGCATCCCAGGGTAAAAGCAGGCCGCGAGTGGGTGGAGAAAGTCCAGACACCAGAGCAGGTTAGACTGGCACTCGATGCCCTTGCCAAAGGAATTTATGAGCGTAGCTTTGGAGATCTCGTCAATAGGATCAACAACCAGCTAGACCGCAGCACCGTTACTGCGGACGACAGTTATTTTATCGGTGTGCTCGATATTGCAGGATTTGAGATTTTCGAGAACAACAGCTTCGAGCAACTGTGCATCAACTACACTAATGAGAAACTGCAACAATTCTTCAATCACCATATGTTTGTCTTGGAGCAAGAGGAATACGCAAGGGAGCAAATTGAATGGCAGTTCATCGATTTTGGAAAAGACCTGCAACCAACAATTGATCTTATAGAACTGACAAACCCTATTGGTATTTTTTCCTGCTTGGATGAGGACTGTGTAATGCCAAAAGCCACCGATAAATCGTTCACGGAGAAGCTCCACTCTCTCTGGGATCGAAAATCTTCAAAATATCGGGCCTCTCGACTAAGTCAAGGCTTTGTGCTGACCCACTACGCCTCTGAGGTTGAGTATAATACCGACAAATGGCTTGAGAAGAATAAAGACCCCCTTAACGATAATATAACTCGCCTTCTGGCGAATGCGGAACAGAGGCATATCGCTAATCTTTTCTCGGACTGTGGAATTCCCGACGACGAGTCAGACTATCCCAAAAGTCGTGTGAAGAAGGGCCTGTTCCGCACAGTAGCACAAAGGCACAAGGAGCAGTTATCAAGTCTTATGGCTCAACTGAATTCAACCCATCCTCACTTTGTGCGCTGTATTATACCGAATCACAAAAAGCGGTCCAAGATGCTTAATGCCCCGTTGGTTCTTGACCAGTTACGATGCAACGGTGTGCTTGAAGGAATTCGGATAGCCCGTACGGGGTTTCCTAATAGGCTATCCTTTGCTGAATTCCGTCAACGGTACGAAGTTCTCTGTCATAATATACCAAAAGCCTACATGGATGGTCAAAGTGCTGCTCACATGATGCTGCAAAAGCTTGCTTTGGATCCTGCCTGGTACCGGGTCGGTCGCACGAAGGTGTTCTTCAGAGCTGGTGTCCTGGCTGAATTGGAAGAGAAGAGAGATGAACTCATCCGCTCCATTATGACACGTTTCCAGTCACTAGCCCGGGGATTTGTGCAGCGTCGTATCTCAAATAAGCGCTTGTATCGTGCAGAGGCCACTAGAATTATCCAACACAATTTCCGGACCTATCTAGATTTGAAAGCTAGTCCTTGGTGGCGGCTGTACTCAAGAATGAAGCCCCTGCTCGGAGAGACTAGGAGTGCCAATGAAGTCAGGAGAAGAGATGAAAGGATTCAGCAACTGGAAACCAAGATGAAGTCGGACCTGGCAGATCGACAAAGAATAGACGAGGAGAGGCGGCGCTCGGAGATAGAAATGCAAAAAATCCAACAAACGTTAGAAAGCGAAAGGGCTCTTGCTCTTGATAAAGAGGAGATCTTCAAGAGGCTACAACTTCGAGAGGTGGAGTTAAGTGAAAAGTTGGCTGGTGCGATTGCAGATCAAGAGAGTCTCGAAGACCAACTGGATGGCCTCATAGAGGCAAAGAAGAAAGGGGACGAAGAGCACGATTTCCGAATAACGCAGCTAGAGCAGGCCGGTGAAATTATACAACGCCTAGAAAGTGAGAAGCAAGAGATGCAGGCACGCCTTGACGAGATTGATCTCACGTTGATGGAAGCAGAAAAATCTTCCTCTGAAAAAGAAAACCACATTAAAGAGCTGGACCAAGAGGCTAAGATGCTTCAAAGCCATCTCAGCTTGAAAGACCGTAAACTTCAAGACCTCGAGGCAAAACTGTTAAAGACTGACCAGGATCTTGATATCAAGCTTGCGAGAACCTCGAAAGAATTGGATCAGTCAAAGAAGCAGATCAAAGACCTGGTGGATGAAAATCGCACTATCAGAGAGCAGATCTCGGATCTTTCATCAACTTCTACTGGGTACGAAGAAATGTTAAGAAGAAAAGAAAGCGAGATAGCAGTCCTGCGTAATGACACGAAGAAGTATGAAGAAGAGAAGCGACAGTTGGAGACAGAAAAGGTATTGTTGACAACTCGTCATGACAACATTCACAAGCGATTGCGGGAAGTCCAAGCAGAATCGGACGCTATGATGGCTGAAAAAGCTCAACTAGACCGAGAAGTTGCGGATGTCAAAAAGCTCCTGGAAGAAAAGATCTCGGAGGATGCTGAGGCTGTAGAAAGCCGGAAGCTTCTTGAACAGCAAATTCAGGATCTCAAAAATCAATTATTCCGCGCACAGGCCGACCTTAGTAGGGAAAGACAGTCGAGAGACGATGTCCAAATGCTTGCAGAGCATAATCTCGCTGCGTTGCGGGACAAGTACGACTCCTTAAACCACTCAAAAATTACAATCGAGAAGGAGATGTATATTCAGCAAGATACTCTCCGCCGTGCCACCGAGGCTCGACTGTCCGCTGAGCAGTCACGTAAAGATTTGCAGACAGAGTTGATAAAGCTTCGTGACCGCTTCACTAATGTTGAAAATGCTCGTTTGAATGCAGAGGCTGAGATTGAACGGACTATCACGAACCAAGCCAACCAACGCCTGGACAGTGTCCGAAAAGACCTAGAGGCAAAAACGAGTCAACTGGAGGAAGTGGAAGCCGAAAGATCTCGCCTTTCAGCCAGAATTCAGGAGTTGAATAATGCGATCGTAGACTCTGACAACTTCCGAATCCGCCACGACCAGCATAAAGAGCGCCTAGAGAGAGAGCTGGTTACCCTCAAGGGCAGGCTTACAGCATCCGAAAATGATAATAGAGCTTTGCTCACAAAAATCCAGCAGAAGAACCTCGATATTGCCAGGTCTACCTCTAAAGCGAGTGACAACCAACGTCATCGTGTAACAATGCTCCAAAAAGAGAAGGCCAAGCTTGAGGAGGATAACAAAAACTTAGCCCGCCAGCTGGGAGACCTCCAAATTTCAATAACATCTCTGGAGAAACAAAAGGAAAAGCTCTCCTTGAGTTTGGAAGACTTGAATCATGAAGTCAATAGGGAACACAAGGCCAGCCGAAATGCTGAAAAGGCAGCCTCTACCGCTAATATTCAGCTAGCTGAATCAAACAGGAATTTAGAGACTGAGCGGCAGCTACGTACTCAAGCTCAAGCAAATACTCGCAAGCTTCAAATTTCTCTTGACAACGCAAACAAAGAAATTGAAGATCTGCACCGCCAGCTAATGTTGTTGCACAAGTTTGTTGAGCCTGCATCAGAGCCATCTTCGGAGTCATGGGAGGCTGTTCGTCCTGATGTGTCAAAGAAGGTGGACCTCGCTCAGCTGCTGGATACTGTACAAAGTAAATTGCAAGTCACGGAGGAGAAGTATAGCAGAGCAGAGGCTCAACTAGCGGAGATGCGCCGCCGACATGGCGATGAAATGAAGGAACTTGACGCTCGCTATGCTTCGTCTAAGCGTGCTTTGTTAGAAGAAATTGATCAAAATCAGGTTTCCGGAAACTGCACACCTACTCATCTGCGAAAGAATTCTGAAAATGCCGTCGTGAAGAAATATGGTACGCCCACAACGCCTAATCGGAGATTCTATCTGAACGAGACTGCAAATGACTCTGCGCGGTCTGATAAGACAGTGGACACTGTGGGATACCAAAAGCGAATGGACCTGGCTGCTGAAATCGAAGAGCTTCAGAACAAGCTCCAGATGAGTGAAATGCAAAACAAGCATCTTGAGAGCCAGCTCCAACACGCCAGCCCCCGTCGAGACATGTGGCAAGATGATAGCCCTTCGATCAGAAGGATGCAACTCTTAGAACGTGAGAATGGCCGCCTACATGACCAACTTGATGACTCTGCGAAGAAGGTTTCTGCACTTGAGCGAAGCATCCATTCAGGGGAGCTGTCTCTACGCGATGTTCAGGCAAAGTCTCACGAAGAACTGTACGACCTTATAAACTCACAGGAGCAGTCCCGAAGATCACTGCTGAAGGTCCACAACGAGGCTGTCGCTGAGTTTGGCGATGCTAAATCCCAATTTGAAAAGCTCAAACGAGCTAAGGCGTCTGTGGAGGTTGAACTCCGTGATGCGCGTTCCGAAGTACAAGAATTGCAGGTGACCAGAGAACAGGATTCTGTGAGCCGAAACCAACTTCTTCAAGAGTTCTCAGACCTCCAGATCCGCCTGGATGCGGAGAGTTCCAAATCTGCAGACCTTGCCTCAAGCCTGAGCCTATATAAGACTCGTGCAGATGAATATTTCAGCAAACTTGAACAAGCAGAGGTTACTGTTCTGAAAGCCACTCGGGCCGAACAGTTTGCCAAATCTCAAGCTCAAGAGGCAGAGGATACTTGCGCACAAATCATGGCAGAACGCAAACAAATGGATTCTCTTGTGGAAGATCTTCAGCGACAGACGCAATCTCTGGAGGCGCGAATGGAAGATCAGGCTGCTGAACTACAAGCTGCGCTCCAGTCCAAACAACGTCTCCAAAACGAGCTTGAAGACTACAGAAATCAACGCGCCATTGACATAGAGGACAAGGAGACCTCGATGGAACAGACTAGGCAAAAGTACCAACGAGAATTTCTGACGCTCAATAACGAGCTTGAGATGGAACGGGAACGCGTCCTGAACGTTCGTGGAGAGAACGCTCGTCTCCGAGAAGAATTGGAAGATCTCCGTAGCAAATGGGACAATGAAGTACTGAATAGCTCGACATGGGCTAAGGAGAAGGCACGAATGGACATCATGCTTCAAGATGTGACGACATCACGTGATGAAGCAGTGAATGCCCACAATGAGGCCCAGAGTAGAGTCGTGACCCTTCTGTCACAGGTCAGGAGCCTACGGACTTCTGTCGATGATATTACTGCAGATCGAGATATGCTACACAAGGAAAAGAAGATGCTCGAGGCCAGATTAACTGAAGCGGGCGAAAGGCTGGAGGATCTTGCTAAAGGAGAGAGTCCATCCATGCGCAATGCTGCAAGCATGGATCGTGAACTGCTAGAGCTCAAATCCAAGCTTGCTCAGCAGGAGGACGTCTCCGTAGCTGCTGTCGGTAAAATGAGGCGGGCTGAGGCTTTGGCAACAGAGATGCAGAAGGAGGTCACCGCAGAAAGGGAAACGAACACGCAGCTGTTCAAGGATAAGGCTGCACTCGAGAAACAACTGAAGGAGGCCCAACTACGGTGTGTTGATTTGGAGACTAAGAGCTACTCATCGGGCAGTCAGGACGTCAGATTCCTGCACAAGAGAATCAAGGAGGTAAGTTAAACCCTTCTGCTGTATTTTTTGACACGAACAATCAACGTGCTAATACTTGGATTAAAGCTTGAAACCCACCTTGAGGAACAAGAAACCAAACACGGCTCGGAACAACGGTCTCTGAGAAATGTTGACCGCACCGTGAAAGACCTCCAGTCCCAGATAGACCGGCGAGAAAAGATGAATACCCAACTCAATGATGACCTCAACAAAGCCCGTGACAAAATAGAGCGCCTGCTTCGAAACATTGAAGAGCTTCAGGAAACCGACTCAGATACGCAATTGCAAGTCCGCCGAGCAGAGAGAGAGCTCCGTGAAGAAAAAGAAAAGTCGTTGCGATTGGCGCGGGAGTTGGAAGGATGGAAAGGACTTCGAATTGAAAGAGGTAGCAATGTCGGACGGGGTGTCGCCACTTACAGTGATGCCGGGAGCAGAAAAGGGAGCGGCGCGTTTGGACCAGGTGAAGGGCTACATCGAATGCCTAGCAACACCAAAGGCTTCCTGTAAGAAATACGATGATCTAGCAGGGCGGTCCTGCTCAACATAACCGCATTCAATAATTCAGGCGCTAAATATTTATCCAGGGCCTGAGCAACGGACTACGAACATGACATGATTATTGTGCATAGCTACAGAGCTATGAAGTATTTGGCGGTTGATTGTTTTCCCTTTTGCTTCTCTTTTCTACATGTATACGCCTCAATGATTATGATGATCTATCTGCATTCAAGTTGGTTCAGCTGATTTGTTTGGGTTGAAGATAGATGGTTTACACTATTCACGACTACGTTGACCGAATGTATATGAAATACTGATCAGGCTTTACTGGCGAATTTTATAAATAGCTTTCTTCATTATTGATTTCGCAAATCTTAGGACATGATTTTGACTACTTAGTTAGTTGATAGCAGAAACAAAGTACGGTACTTTGAGCGATTTGATCCGTACATTATTCACCCTTAAAAAAACAATCATAGACTCGGCCATTCAGTAGCAGGGAGAAGGGCAAAAATAATTATGTAGAAGTATCGTCCAATGAAATTGGATGAATTAGCCGCGCGCTTATTATTAGCGCCTGCACCGAACGCTTCTTTGAACCGACTGAGCTTGGGATCAAGACCACTTCGAGCCGTGAGAGTGGCTTTCTTCACCCACCTTCTCTCATCCAGTGCCCTTGCCTGTTAAGACCCCCGAGCTGCCTGCCTTCAACATGGTGAGTATTTACGTTTACGAGTGCGAGTCGCTGCTCGAAATAATCGAACCATTCATTACTAATTGACGATGTCCGTCACAGGCACGAAACAGCGAAAAAGCGCAGTCGATGCTTTTTCGATTCCGCGCGCAACAGGCAGCGGACCTCGGAATCATCGACATCGGACGAACGCGTCGCCCCAAAGCCATCACGTCGGTGGACTCGATCCCTATGTGCGAGAAATGGCGCGGCCAGGTCCTAAAGGAAATTTCGCGGAAAGTGTCCCGCATCCAAGAATCCAGCCTCAGCGACTATCAGATCCGTGATCTGAACGATGAAATCAACAAGCTTATGCGCGAAAAATGGACCTGGGAAATGCAGATTCGCAACCTCGGTGGTCCTAATTACATGCGTGGCTCTGGTCGTGTCTATGACGATGACGGGAGGGAAATCCCCGGCGGCGGGAAAGGATATCGATATTTTGGCCGGGCTAGGGAGCTACCCGGTGTGAAGGAGATGTTTGAGGCTGCTGCTCGGAGGGGCCGGAAACCTGCAGAAGAAGAGGAAACTAGTGGGCGAGGCGGCGATATCGCTACGAAAAAGGTGGACGCGAATTATTTTGGTTACGGTCTAGATGAAGAGGATGGTACACTGCTGACGTATGAACGACAGAAGGAGAAGGAGGCTGTTGAGCGTCTACGCAACAAGAAGGAAGAGGACGTTGAAGATGGTTGGGAGCCTCTACCGGGTGATGCTGGCGACGGGGTGGAGTGGAGATTGCCGACCCTAGAAGAAGTACAAGAGGAGTTGGTGGACAGGAGGAGGCGGAGATTGTTGGATAAGATCATTTGAGGTTGATATTATGGACATGGTTGGTGTACCGGGCGTGTTTTCCTTTCTTCCACTTTCACTTTCGACTTCTAAAATACTCTCGTGAGGCGTTTTGGGTGTATCATTCCTTGTGCTGCTACGTCTGGTTTTATACTATATTCTTTCTGCCGTTTTAACACCATGCATTTGGAGCAGAAAGCTCCCTGACGATACCAAAACGGCTCTTTTTACCCTTCTTTTCGGGTGCAGTGGACGATATTAGTGAACTTTATTCTTTACTACAGCTCGGATTATCCCGTTTCTTAGACTTTCTTTCGGCCCGCAAAGCCTGAGTAATACTAATGCCCACTTGATCCTTGGCTCCTTCCTGTCGATGACGTTCTTCTGCCTGTAGATCGTCGAGCAAGAATCGCCCTAAACTACCAGAACGCCATTTCTGAATAAAGTGCTGTGCCGCAAGGTCGATATTGGGAATGCCGCCTTTAGCAAGATGACCAGAGTACCGGGCAAAGCTGTTCAGAAGGGACATGATTTCATTGGTTGGCGGGGACCAACGCTCATACACTTGGGCATCGTGAAGATTTATATGATATAACAGATAGTCAGCTAGAGTGACTGGTGAAATGACAGAATCCTTGACGCAGCCACAGAGCGCCAGTTTAAGCATGTTTTCCGCGTCGGGCACATACGGCATAAACACTCCTGGAGTGTCTAACACGTAAACATGGGAGCCATTCATCCTCTCTATAATCTTCACTGGCGATCCGATTTTCCGGGTGATACCGGGTTGGCCTCCTGTTTGTACAGCCTTGGCCTTTCCCACACCCTGGTTACGCAGATTGTTGATCAACGTCGATTTCCCGACATTGGGCATCCCGACCACCATTACACGACAACCGACAATCTTGTCTGGTCCTTCGGCATCTTCCCGCAAGTGTTTCAGGATGGAACTCACGTCTGGGCGGGATGACGAGCTCACAAAAAATACCGCGCTGTTTTGATCGAACTGTCGAACTATCTTCTCTGCCTAGAAGAATGAGGAATAAGTAATTGAATATAAAAATTACCTAAGACTAGGAAATTTGAGACGTGACTTACTAATTGCTGTGCGGTTGATCCAGAATCTGCACCCAAGTCTCTCTTAGTATAGACGACCAAACGCCTTGTTTCCCCCAACGCCTCTTCGAATATTGGGTTAACTGACGTGACAGGCACCCTGTAGTCGCGGCACTCCACGACATAGTCAACCGAAGACAGCATATTTTTCATCTTCTTTAGACCAGCCCTGTGGTGGCCTAGGTAGTACGACCTGGGGATGGACCCATAATTGGGAAAGAACTGACGCGGAATAAATTTGGCTGCCATCACTGTCCGCGGAGCAAAAGCTGTAGGAAAATGGCTGGAAGGAGAGCTCAGTTACTATTCCTCCATACATGATCCATAGCGGGCTGTTGACTTGACTATAGGATGGAGATGATGTCTTTTCTGTCCGTTCGGGACATTTCTTCCGTGTTTGACAGGCAGAACCAAAGCGGTGAGGAGGGCGGTATTTCCAGTCATCGTTCAATCCTGCCAACATCTCGCTCAATTCAACGCACAATAAACTAGGTCATCTCTGGGAGAGCTGCTGGGATGATTAAAAGGTTACATCATACATTCTACGGAATATGTTTATTTACTCCATACTTTCGGAAGCCCATCAGGTAGATCCCTGCCACAGCAGGTGGATTGGATTCATTCAACTCCTCCAATCTTAGTTGCCAGAAATACATAGCCAACATACTTTCAGGAGGCTTACATTCACTAGTAGATCAACGGCTTGGGATTTCAAATATTCCACTCAAAACCAGATTATGCCGTTCTCATTCTTTCGCATATATTTAGGGAGCCTTTCTGGTATTGCCGCCTAAATTAAAGTGCGTTGACGACCTTGTTCAATGTAAGCTCATAGGCGACATACACTAGTGCAACTGCTGACACTCGGCACTCTCGGATGAGTGTTGGATTGTTTGTTGCCTACACCAACATGATGCAAGGGAAAAGCAAGCCATGAATGTGGTCTAAGCCCGGTTGAAAGAACTTCGGTTTCTACGTAGTAATTCCAACCTAAAAGGCAAAATAAGCATAGAATACAGTCTCTTCCAGAGCATGAAGGGGGTTTTCTCATGTTTCCATTGCTTGATTCCCGCGTCCTTCTCCCTTACGTGTGCAGTATGACGTCCAGGGAATTCACATGAAGGAACCGAGCAAGTTATTCGAGTACCCCTTGTTTGGTTCGAAGGGATAGCCATGGGGACAAAATTCCCAAGAATACCCTCCATTAGGGCTGAAATTCTAGCACGCCAGTACGAGAAGACAGGCATATGCATTTCTTCCCCGTTAGCAGGCATCCCCTTGCAGCATAACATCCTAGGGGATTAGATATCTGCTGTCCGTTGCAGCGTGCTGTCAAGTTTGAAGAAGCCCAAAAAAGTGTGGTACATTTTCTAACTCTCGCTTCCTTCATGCGATATCCGACAGTGCATCTTATAGCCCTAGAATTGAAAACTGGAGAGCTTATATTTTCCATACCATTTTGATTTCTAAAGACGACGGTTGGAAAGGCTCTTTCAAACAGTCTATTATCTTCGGCAACATAAGGTTTCTTAGTAGTATAAACTCACAGGATTGTTTCAACACCAAGCCATCATGGCGACCCCTTATAGAATGGGTGATATTCCAGTGTCGTCTAGGGTTCCATTTTGGCGAATGGTATTTGACCGGGGGATTGTCACGCAGGAAATGATAAATGAACAATATGCTGGCTCTGGCACCGAACAGAACCCCTTCAAGGTCTCATGGATCTCGGACGATCCTCTCTATCCTATGGCCTATCATACATCCTCTAAATGGGCTCTTCTCTCTCTCGTTTCTCTGGCCTTTTTTACAGTGTCGCTGGTATCGTCCAGCTACTCAGGCGGCATGGGAGAGATTGTCGATTTTTTCCAAACTAGCGAGGAAATTGCTACCCTTGGTATTTCGTTTTATGTTATTGGTTTTGCGCTTGGTCCTTTATTTCTGGCACCTCTAAGTGAGCTCTACGGACGCCGTCCGACATGTATCTTCAGTGCTGCGGCATTAACGGCATTCACTGCTGGCACAGCAGGCGTGCAGAACATAGAGTCTCTAATCATCCTTCGTTTTCTTGCCGGTAGCCTTGGTTCCGCTCCGATGGCTGTTTCGGGGGGCGTCGTTGCCGACACATTCCCTGCAGTGAGTCGAGGACTAGCCAGCGGGCTTAATGCTGCAGCACCATTTCTGGGACCAACGATTGGCCCTATCGTTGGGGGATTTTTGGCTGCTAGCGGAGGCTGGCGGTGGGCACAGGGCTTCTTAGCTGCCTTTTCTGGTGCTATACTTGTGGCAACTGTCTTTCTGCAGCCTGAGACCTACGCGCCGGTGCTCTTGCGACAGCGAGCGGAGACACTATCCAGGATTACTGGTCGTGTGTATTGTAGCACACTTGACATGGAGGGAAGAAATGCTTCCACCAGCGAAGCATTGAAGATAGCCCTTTCCCGGCCATTTGTGCTACTCTTTCGCGAGCCTATTGTTTTCCTTCTGTCTTTATACCTCGCTATTATATACGGCACGCTGTATATGTTTTTCACGGCCTACCCTATTGTCTTCCAGCAAGTCCGCGGCTGGAGTAAGGGTATTGGTGGGCTATCCTTCCTAGGCATTCTGGTTGGGATACTGTTCGCGCTGGCTTACATATTCCTTATACATTTCCAATACAAGAAGAAAACACTTCAAGCACAAGGGCGTCTACCTCCTGAGGAGCGCCTACCTGCCAGCTTTATAGGAAGTGTTGCCCTCCCAGTTAGCCTCTTTTGGTTTGCCTGGACCAATTCGCCTTCCACCCACTGGATAATACCAATATCGGCAGGGGTGCCCTTTGGATATGGCATGGTAATGGTGTTCATGCCGGTTCTTAACTACTTGATTGACTCCTACACCATCTACGCCGCTTCTGTGACAGCAGCGAACTCCTTGATACGATCTCTATTCGGTGCACTCTTTCCGTTGTTCACTGGCTATATGTACCGAGGATTGGGCATACATTGGGCATCCTCAGTTCCTGCGTTCCTTGCTTTGGCGTGTGTTCCAATGCCGTTCTTGTTCCACAAATACGGTGCGCGAATCCGTAGACGATGTCACTACGCAGCCGAGGCCGATGCATTCATGAGCCGTCTGCTCAAGAGTACCAAGACGGACACGCGGCAGAAATCAAAGGGGAACCAAGAAACCATTGATCTGGAAACGGTGGATTCAGTGGTTAATGAGGAGAGGCTTGATATCGGAGGAATGGCTGATATTACACTCCACGAAATCGCCCATACTCCAAACAATCGAACCTCCTGGGATTCGAGAGCAATATCAAATCACTCACTTGTCTGACAACGTGGCAGATATTTCTCAGCTGATGACCATGGAGAAGGTTGGGCTTCACGCTTAGTCTTATTTCGGAAGTATACTATTATATCTATTTATCCATAAATTTTTACGCTATTGCCGGCTCTTGTGACGTTTTAAGGAACAAGTGTGCCTGACTCTATAAACTCTGATCAACTGCAGGGAATCCATCCAATGTGGTTATCATCTTGTATAAAGGCGAACGCCCATCAATCGACAGGATACACCACGAACAGCCGAACAGCTAGTGAGCCCCTACTAAAACGGTCTGTCTCTAGACGGTACAGAGCATCGCCCGCCATCATCTTTAACACCATGTCCCTAATTTCTGCCTTTCGACCTCGTTCCGCACGAACCAGTTCTATCCGCCGCGGCCTCCGGCGAATCGCCGGAGGAGGCCCCAAAGGGACAGCGCATCGGAAGGTGAGCTTGGATGCAACAACGATGCATATTCCATCATCACGCCTTCAAGACACATCCCAAGGCGTTTTGGGCCTTGCGAGGCTCCGTATCTATTGGCAGTCCGCTGCGTTCACTTAGACTGGCGAAGCAGGACTTCGTGAATCTGCGCGGGCGGTATCTCTCGGATTGGACCGTGTTCAACCAATTGGTCTTTACCATGCAGTTTATGTCTTCTTCACGAATCTTCTACTGGGCATCACGTTTGGTAGTGACTTGTATGTCCCGACAGGCAAAAGCCGGGGGACTGTCGAGGTAGTCCATAGCACAGGGCTTTGTGGTATCATTTTCTCGCTATACGTTGTGGACTTATGGGATAGATAGCAATTGAAATTAACCTCACTAGGTTATCCTTTCAGCCGGGCAGCCCTTGACGATCCTTGGAGTCACACAGGATCTTTCTCAGTGCTGGCAGTGAATATCTATACGTTATGTCTCAGGTATTTCAAGGTATATATACATCACAGGAACGCATTCGTCCTGGTATCTATAAACGTGTACCACCCTGAAGGCCCCTTTCTAAATTTCACGGCCTGGTCTCTGATCCAGGTTGCATGGCTGCACTATTTGTTGGCAATCATCAATGACGACTGGACGATGAGATATGTGACTACATTAGCCACCGAAATCTTCTCCCTCCTCAACAGCATCATCTATTTCCACAAAGTCATACAAGAGCTGGAGAATGCTCACGATGACCTCTCCTTCGCCGCCTTTCTATAGCTATCATTAGTGCTGTTGGAACAATGCTCCGTCACCGCAGAGAGCTGGTGCCCGCTCTTTTATCGATACATCCGGGTAGGCCTGACCGAGCACGCCGCAGTGTTCTCGTCATTATCTTCATCAGTCTGTCACATATCAGCGAACTGGCCCCATCAGCACTTTCTTCGAGCCCGCGTCCCCCGATTGCGATACATTCTTCGTCCGATTCTGGACTTTATCAATTGGCTGGGTCTTCGCTGCCATCATCCCCGGCATCATTATCACGATTCTCTTTTTTTTTTTTTTTGACCACGAAGTCGGTTCTTCATCTGCACAATTGACTGGCCCCCGGGAAACCTATCAGCTTCGCATGAGATATCGTTCAGTTAAGGACCACTAAAGCGTTGTGTGGGATCCTAGTTATCCCCCCGGCTAATGGATTACTGCCACAAGCACCACTGCACTCAGAATCGTTAATGCAGCCCGAACATGAACAACGTACGGTCACCGAGGACAGTGACGAGAAAGTTGAGACTCACGAAGTTAAACGCGTCTACGAGCAGCGGTGGTCCTTATTCCATCTTGCGCGAGCGATACTGCTCTTCTTCAGTCCTCCTGTGCTGAAAGTCGTCGGACTCACGCCCACGAGTGTCCTTGCTGGTTTGTTCATGTTCATGGGCGACCAGAGTCTCTTCGTCAAGTGAGTCTCCTTTATCCGATCCTACCCAAAAAATAATAAATAAATAGAGCTGACCACACTTCTATAGCCCTATCTTATACCGCACCTTCTACCTTCTAACACCCCCCTCGGAGCTACCACCTTTACCCATCATCTCCCTCACCAAAAGGGCAGATTCTCCTGGACCGATAACACGCAAGACACCAACCCATCCTATCTTCCCGTCCATCTGTACGCGATATTGCAGACCGTCATAACGGTAGTAATACTTATAATGGCCTTGACGCGTGGTGCGCCCGCATTTCCGGTTCTAATAATTGCATTAGTTTCTTTCCGTCTTCTTGTGATGAAGCGATGGTGGCCGCGAGGGGTGCTCCGGTTTGTCGACGCGTGGACATGCAGAGAAAGAACTCCCGAGGATGATGAGGATGTCGAGTCTAAGAGACGTGATGATGATGGGGGAAATGGTGTGGATGGTGTAATTTCTAGCCGGTTGGGTGACTCGATGAATGAGCCTTCCAATCTGCGTGCTAGAACGCAGGCTAGGATGAAGAGGGGAGATGATAAAATTCTGGCAGTGGAGAACAGGGATATAGGACATATGTGGGTGGAGTTGGGCTTTCGCACAAAGGCAGATGAGGAGTTGGGGCGCCCGTTAGAAGGATAAGAGGAAGGAAATCAGTTTTACTAGATCGACGCTTATCTATAGATCCATACAGCAATCTTACAGTAGAGGATTTGTTCAATTCTGAATCCAGGGTATCGTCCATTCATAGAATATATGCGCCAATCGATGACTCCTTGATAGAACTAGTACATGTAAAAAAGGAACTACAGTATCCCAAAATTTGAAGCAAGTAGAAGTGCTTCCAATGACAATAAGTAGCTCATGTCCGCCAATCCTGTACGAATTTATGCAGGTAATCAATGACCACGCCGAATATGGCATTCACACTATCGCCGATGAGCTGTTCAAAATGACGAATGGCCTCTTCTTCCGTCATCTGAAGATTGAACCTCTCCTTGACTTTTAGAACTGCCTTGTCCGGCTCAACGCGAATATCCGGGATGTTAGCATCAACCATCAGACTGAAGAGGTTCAGAATAAGATTGGCAGATTTACGCAACGTAGTGTATGCCGTGAAACAGTATTGCTTGAATTGGAGATAATGGGGCGAGGTCGTTCCGCCCATGCCCTCGACCATCTCTTTGCAGAGCTTCATCATGGGAGCAAATGGCTTGGGGTCCCGGCCTAGGATGAAGCCAAAATCCGCATGGAAGAAATGGCCATCCGGGGCAAGAAGCAGATTCTCCAGATGTCTGTCTCCCACGCCGAGGAGATATGTAATTACACAATATCCGGCGCAGGACTTAATGTACGTGTCCATAGTCTCTTTGCGGACTCCGAGCGGTTCGCTCTCGTCGGGGTTGTTTGCTCTAAGGTACGCAAGGACCGACTTATACTTCGCCGAGACTGCAGAAAGGGGGGTCGAGGGGATGAACTGCACCGCACCTGCTGTAGCGTTGGTCGCAAGAATGCGGTATGGGGTTAGCTTAAGATCCAGGTTCTCCTTCTGCAGGAGACGGTCCATCAGAATAATGGTCTGGATGACAAGCTGATCCTGACGAAGGTCATCGCCTACTTTGAACAGAATTGGATATTTTCGCCCTTCCGAAGTTTTGAAAGTAATGTGCAAAGGTGATAGGGTGGACTTGAACACATTTGATTCTTCTGGATAGCAGCCAGTAATGAGTATCTCTGGGTCCAGAGGTAGAGGCAACGGTGGGTCAATATGCACAAGGTCGTTTTTAGGATCTTTCAAGGTCTTTTTCAGCTTCTCGATCTTTAGGGATCGATTTTCTCGGGACAAACGGATGTCCTTGGCGATTTTCGTGAGCACAATGACCAGTTCACCTTGACGCAAGAGTGTCTTTCTGTGCTCGGGGTGGATTTGCTCCAACTCGCTCATGAAATAAAACTCTACACGTGCAAAAACTCTACGTTGTGCCGACAATGTGCCCGGACCTGTATCGTCGCATTCAACCATCAGGTACCAGTGCAAATAGTTGCCAAGCTTGAAGTTGTTGGCGGCCCGGGTGATTAGGAAATTGGCCAGGGAAGAATCGTGAGTAGAATCTTCCGTACTGCCATCATCATTATCTTCATATTTGAGCGCCTGTACCAGCTGCAAGAGGTAGAGAAGAAGTTCTTCGTCATCGGCTTTTCGGAGCCTTTCAACTGCATAAGAGCGAACTGCAGGGTTATCAAACGTTGGGCCGAGAAGTTCCAGAGCATCGTCAACGTCGATCTCTGTCCATTTTGGTAGTATCTCCACTGCTTGATGCGCTTCACCCTTATCTCGCCAATTCACTGACTTGACAAATTTTGTGAGTGCCCTCTTTTCACGCGTCAAATAATACCTAAATCGCCAAACAAGATCCTTCTCCTCGGCGGTGAGATCCTGCGTAGGTTCGTACGACAATATTACGTTAAGCTCATCCCGAATCTTTGGGTTTGGCTTTAGGTCTCTGTCCATAAAGCCGGTGCGATGGCTACGAATCAGCCTCCTGTGCTTGTCCTCGCATGGGTTGCCTGTTTGACCGACTTCAGGATCGTAGATGCGTATCACGCCATCACCATCCGCACCTGCTATATCCGGTCCGAACCGAACCTCAGGGATAGGTTTCAATGCGGGATTTGCATTTGCAGCGGAATTTTGGGTGTAAGATAAAATAGGGGGTGGTGCGTATTCATGGTCTGACCAGACAATGGGATGATCGAAACGAGGGAGTTCGACATAAAGTATAAAATTTTCATCGTCGATATCTTCCTCGTCCGAGCCGTCTTCATCGGCCTTGTCCTCTTTCGGGGCTTTTTGTTTGATTGATTTGAGTCGGACAGCTCGCTTCCTTGCAGCTTCTTCAGCACTGAGCTTGAGCTTTTCCAGCTGACGGAAAACCATCTGATCCATCCAGTCAATTCGCGGGATTTCTCCCATCTCATGTTTTTTGATCAACACCTCCACTCGCTCCAGTTCCATCTCTTCGTACGAAGGGCCTAACGGATCGGCGACGTTTGGTCGGCGTCGTTTGGGAGGTGGGGTCGATGGTGTCGTAGTTGAGGAGAGGCCATCCGCAGCTTTGTGTCGATAAACCTTGCATTTTTGTCTACCCATCTTTAATTTGCCATCTTCGTCAAATAACGGTATGGTCGTTCCGCCAAACGGGACATTGTGGCCCTGCGCCCCTTCGCCGCCAAACGGTGACAAATCCCAAATAGTGATCGCAAGCTGGCATCTTAGAGGAGCATCTTTCAAGGGCAGTGGCATCTGCAGCCACTCACCCCATGTCCTAGATGTCTTGAAGTTCTTGTATGAGGTCTGTAGAGGTACTCCCAAAGGTTTGGATTCCGACCACAGTTGCACCGTCACGTAGAGATCAGATACAGGATTCTGCACAGAACCTAGGTGTCGCAAGTCCGGTCGTTTCAAAAGCACGGAAAACGGGATTTCCCTCTGCTTCCCTTCTAATGAACCGCTGCACGCCCGGTTAGTTAGTCTAGCGCAGTAGTCGGAATACGGCTGGCATACATTTTGATAGAGATGGGAAAGTCTACCTGAGTGGAGACCGCAAAAGTAAAGGCCTCCATGCTAGGCCTAATGTTTCCAAGTCTTACCTCGCTACTGCTCTCATTGCAAGATTCCCATGGAAGGGAACTTGATGTAGCCAGAGACCTCAGTCCGGGGATACCCGCTGCTGCTGCTACTGATTGGATGAAAGCAACGCACGTCACGCGCGGTCAGGTGAGATCAGGTGATTGTTAACGCGTGCACGCGCCGAGCCATTCAGCGGAAGGAGGGCGATATTGTCCACAAGAGTGTCCTGGTAGAATTCAGTCCTGACAGTGTGTTTATCCTGCAAACAACGCTGTTAAGTCACTCCCCAGCCTTCACTCCTGCCTATGTCCCTTTTGATCGCCTTGCAGCCTCGCCTCATCAGCCATTCTGCAATATCTGCCCAATCACAACCGTGCAACTCCGCGTTCCGTTTACCACAAGATCCAGACAAAGAACATGGCGCGCATCCCCCATGCCGACGAGTCCTCAAGTCAACCTTCATCTCCAGAAACTCATTCCGATAAGGAGAACAACCAATACTCTTCCCAAAATCGAAAACGACACCAGGGCCGGACGATGGCCTCTTCCAGCGCCAACGCGAAGCGGCAGCGGCTAGGGAACAGAACTACAAACATCCAGGATTCTGGCCAGTCCCAAATTCCACCTTCGCAACAAGATTACACCAAACAATACTACGACCCAGATCAAGATGAAAAGGAAAGACGGCGAATCCGGAAGGGACTTCGGGACTTAACACGGGATCTACATGGTTAGGACCCTTGGTCAAACATATGTTGCTCTCCAGTTCTGACAATAGTCCAGATTCCCGGAATGAATTCATGCAGTCTGGCAATGACGGTCTCCTCCAAACTATCGAAAAAGCGAACGAACTTTTTCGCGGCGTCAAGCAAACTTCAGACGCGACAATCGATTCACGCCTCCTAGTCAGCGCCGCTGATCTGTCATATAAGAAGACGGCGCAGTTAGTTTTAGGGGACGCGTCCGCCGGAATAGATGTCGACGAGTTTGTCTCTAAATGCATCTCCTTCATGCGCAACGGCCCCGAGGATTTCCAAGCAACATTTCCCAGTAGCACACAACGTCGGCGCACACAAACATCCAGTAGAAGTCAAGCCGACCCCGATGATAGTGATGAGGATCAGGGTGATGCGCTGAACTGGGACTGGCTGGGACGCGCTGCCTGTCTTCGTCATAATGCGCGACCGGCTGTGGCCGGTTTCCTTTTAGGACCACTGTCGGTGCAGAAGCGCACGCGACAAATGGTGCAACGAAAAGCAAGGGAGCGCATCGATCCATCGCAAGCAGTCCGGCCACAAGAGTTACAGGAGCAGGACCTTGATCGGCAGGAAACTTCAAACCTCACCACTATCTGCACGAACATAAATAAGCTATTGGCAGAAGTACAGACTGGGGGTCAAGACATTGTAGACAGGGAATTATTGCAGCTGGAGGATCCTTCCCCGGAAGTAGTCCAGGAAGTGATGGCTAGGTATAATGTTGCCGACGACGGCGGAGTGCCTCTGTTCCACTTTTGTATCAACCCAAGGTCTTTCGGACAAAGTGTCGAAAACCTGTTTTATGTCAGCTTCTTGGTTAGGGATGGCACGGCTGGCATCTCAACGGACAGTCGTCTGTTACCAACATTACGTAAGTCCCTTTTATTTACTCTTCAGAACCCTGTGTGGAGTACTCACCTTGGTTTAATAGATTCTTCGAAGCCATATGCGCCGAATGAGGCACAAAAGAAAGGGGTCCAGAAGCACCAGGCGATTTTCAGTCTTGATTTCAAAACTTGGCAGGACTTGGTCGATGTTTACAGTATCAAGGAGTCGATCATTCCTCATCGCGAAGAAGAACAATCTCAGAACACAGCACAGGGCTGGTATGCATAGAGACGGTTTTAAAACGAATCATGTTCAGCATGTTGGAAGCGAGTACTCTAAGGTGTTTGGTTCTTGTTTAATAGTGGACATATGTGATACCCATTCTGTTCTGTAGGCTGTTAATAGGGTGTGGCAGGTGTACAGTTGTAGAATGGATTAGACCATACCGACTATATAGCTAGTGAGTGATACAGTCATACCTCTGTCTCTCCTGCTATACCTGCACGTTACATAGTATGGATATGATCTATAATCACATAATCCAGAGCCCGTCTACAGTGGAAATTGTACTGTCCAGTTTATCTTCTATGTCCTCGATAACCATCACTACTATCTCTTATAACTTTTTTCGGCGTACTATTCCTGACTTCTCTATCATTGCCAACTATAGCTTTAAGTATAAGGTCGACATAAATATCTTTCTTAGTCTAGACACCTGCCCCGAAGCTCTTAATAGTATTATAGTATGTAATTTTATGTACGTTACGTCTTTCTCTGGGGCCCAAAAAAAAAGGCAGTGATGTAATTCTCAAAATTATAAAGCAATAATATGGTGAAAAAACATCGTCCCAGGAGAGGATCGAACTCTCAACCTCATGATTAACAGTCATACGCGCTAACCAATTGCGCCACCGAGACATATTATTGGTTGGTTAGGGTCAAAAAAATATAATCCATGTTACATATCCTTCCTGTATCAGTACAACATTTTATTTCACTTTCCTCAACAACCACATTAAAAAGTTAGGAAGTGACATTGGACGTGAACTGTATTAAAATCCGCTTCTCAAGGTACATATAATTGATTAATCCTACCCACACTAACCCCTTTACTTATCATCGTGCATAGAAAGATGCTGCCCAGAATCAGTTTTCTCCGAAGTTCATTTTTCCTCCTGCGAGAGCCATAAGGAACCACGGCAAGTTTGTCTCTTTAACAAGATAGTTTCTGGGCCACCTATTGCACCGAGCTCTATTTAAAGGGTCCCTGGTTCATGTACGACCTGAATAAGCCACCCTCGACATTTACGAAAGTGAGCAATCTGTTAATTGGCTTTTGGTATACAATAAGATCTCCAATACGAAGGCTACGTCGTAAGTACTAAAACAGATCTTTGGACGTTCCCAGTTACTAAAATTCGCTTCGCTTCGTTTATTCCCATGCGGAATCACAGTATAAAGTCACCCGTTGGAGAAGTTAAATTGACAGCTCCACTCCGGAGACCGTAATTAGTCTGCCATGGAGATGGCTTTCGGAGTTAATTGTTATCTTCTGTGACTCGTCTTCTGCTCCGCTTTTTATCTTTCAGTTTATCGACAGCTTTCTGGCGTGCAAGGCTCATATTTGTGCGAAGCTTTAGGAGCACGGTATCTACGACTAAAACCTCCTTGTGAAAGGATGGATGTTGGGTCCTTTAGCAGGTATTTACCTGCCCAGCTCAAGAAGGAAAGGCTATATTATTCTGTCAGCGTCAAATGCCTTTGTTCCTTGCGGTCCTTTGCAATATTGGTGTACATCTCTGCAATAAGCGCAGACTTGTTGCGAGGAGGGCCAGCCTGAGAGTATGCTTGCTGGAAATTATTCGCTTTATATTCCCTCCCAGTCAGCTAGAAGAAGAAGTTGAGACCAGCATCGATTTGAGTAGCTACACTCGGTCTTTTGGTTAGGCTAGCTATGAAGCCGCAAGAGGGGTGATGTATATGGAGAATAGGATAGTTTAATACGCCATTCCGGAAATCCATGTCGAATTTTAGGACAACACCGGGTGATACTGTTACATCCAAGTGTAGTCTATTCTAGTCAATAGCTTGGCATGCCGTCCTCCTGGTACGTCTGGATGCAGTTATTATGAAAGGAAGAGGTAGGATTCTGGGTATATCAGTAGGAACCTGGTTGTGTGTTTCCTTGGGCCCTGGACCCACTTTGGCAAAGGGCAATCGCTTCTATTAGATGTTTCTTCTGCCCTCCAGTACCAATCGCATCTGAAGGTGAATTTTTCCCTGATCCCTTTTTCTATTAATAAACTGATCGTTGCGTCCCCAGTATCCTAAAGTTTACGAGAAATACGTTTTCCAGTGATAAGGTCGAGAATTATACCTAAAACTGCATCCTCGGGTCCTCCAAATAGAAAGCTTGTCAACACTTTGTCCAGAGCATTTCCTGAGAGTTAAATGATTGAAGCCTCTGACTCAGCTCAGATTTCAATATTTCCTTGGGATACATTTTCCTGACCCAGGGATCTTTCAGCAGAGCACAGTATTCGCAATTCTGTGGCTCTAGAACTTTCATGCATGGAAACATCTCGGGCTACGGAGGTGAGAGAAGGGGATAATTTATCAGGGATAAGCATAGCTAGAAATTTCGCTTCAGTGGCAACTAAGGCACTCACCACAGAAGATCAATCTCTATTGAAAGTGTCAGTATCTGGGGTATTTAATAGGCCAGTCTTATCTCAGATTGTTCGAATTTACGATTTGTGCCATTGCATATCGATTTATCTTCCGTCGTTTAAAGCAGGCTGATGTCTGCAGGCTGACCCTCATCAGCTATTGGTTCAATATCCCTAAGGTGTTAATGCTCAATGAATGGGTATAGAGCCTGAGAGGAGCAAGTGAATTCTACTAGGAAGGAAGACGAGAGAGTATGCGGTTATTGTAGATGCCAACAGATGTAGAGAAATGCGGGGAGATGGAAGAAATGGGAAGAAGTTGAACGAAGGCCCGGGGGGGTAGAGAAGGAAGGAAACGGCTGGTGGTGGCATATAAAAGAGATTACATTACACATAGAATGTGAGCACGCATGAAATCGAGGCTGAAAATGACCGCTATGTACTTGAGGCTGTTTACGGCTGCATTTCCACCCGCAACCACTAAGCAGCAAGCCGCTACTTTAACATCCCTACGTGCTTCACAGCACTATTTTGCAGCTGTCAAGCTTTGCTTTATTAGTGCCCGGAGGTGATCGTGAGTCAACATCTGTACAGCGACATCCGCTACATCTAAGCAGTTAGAAGTCATCTTACATGGAAGGATGTGATGAGCTGTCAAGGTAATTCAAAGAAGCACTTAGCAATTCATGTAAGGGCACTGTAAGAGGAATCAATTGGTTGGTAGCTACTTGTGTCTCTGATAGCATCTGCATTCCTGCGGAGATCTCCTGATTCCAGAATGTCCTGTGCATGTACTGCACGAAAGAGGTGCACTAATATAATCACATTTATAAGCATGACGTACACAAACCAGTTATTATTATATCTGCAATTTATAAAGGGGCAGGAAACAATTGTCCAACATTACTGAACAACAAACACAGCCCACCCAGGGATAACACCTACGAATGACTGACATACTTTTCAGCCTTGGATAGGGGGAGGAAGAACAATAGTAAAACTAGAGATGACATGTTAGAACTAAGGAAGCATAATTGTACAGGACAACACTCTAATCCTTAATTTACTAAAACAGTAGGACCCGCAAAATGATTGTTCTTATGATCCAGTAGCAGCCACTGTGAATAATCATTTTCGAAGACAGCAGGCCACAGTTTTGGCTCTGAGTGCTCTATAAAGATGTAAGCGACACTATAGGAATTAAGGGCATATAATCAAGCACAAAGAAAGTCTACATACCGTTAGATGGCAAAGACATTGCATAGTTAATTATTATCCAATCGTTAAGCATACTATCTTCTATCTAATAATAGCATCGGCCACCCTCCCAGCCTCGGGCATGTTTGCGCAGGTACTTTTTACTCCAGCTGACTTCGAACTTGTTCTTTGTTCTACAGGGTTTGGATCGGGCACGCTGTTCGGGAGCCAAAACCGAACTGGTGGATTTAGGACTGGTACATCATCAGCAGGAAGTCTCTTTGGAGGTGGCACCTCAATCTCAGTAACTTGGCTGTGGCCCCTGAGTAACTCGGCCCCCCACTACTTTTGTGGAATCCAAAGGCCAAGTCGGCCATCACCCCTTCGGGTCCATTTGCTAGAGATTTGCACACCTCGACCTACAACAGTATTAAATACCCCGTAGAACTTATCCTGATATTGAGCCTCTAATGGTTGCAGTTTCCCTGAAGTTAACATTTTGCTTTGTATGCAATGCTGAAGATTCTTTTTTGAAAAGTACTTAAAGACCTTCTTGCACAAGCTTTAAATTGTACGGAATGCCTTATACGGGAACTTTGTTTCCGTGTCGCCAATTACGTACTCAATATACCAAGATAAAATAGAATAAAAAAAGCCATACTTTAGGGAATATTACTTTTCATGTAAGCGTGATGGAAGAATACTAACACTATACAATCACCTAGGGCCCTCTTTTATAATTGCCCTGCGGATACAGCCTTGTTTATAACAGCACCTTGTGCCCTTTTCTGGCTTATCAAATAGAATATATCCAGCTTCTAGCACTTTGCTAAGGATATTCCCGGCTTCTGGTGTAAATTTGTCTCCAAAAGGAAACGATTGAGTGACAACAGTTCCTGCAAGACTGCTGAAGACTTTATTATTATTTGCCAAGGCTTGAACCACATAGCTCACTGTTAAGGTGGAGGTTACTCCATGTTTCACCTCAGAGGGGTACACCTAAAATCCAGAATTGTGCTAACAGAGCAATCTAACTAATTTACTTATGAAGCCTTTCTTTCTTTCTTTCACTACTTGGAGAGGTCCAGCATGCCACCAGCAGCACCACTATCTTAAACATATATGAAAACTCACATAACTGTTAAGAATCAAGCACTGGTAGAGCATGGCTATAATAAAAATGTCCTGTCTGGAAAAGAGAGTCCAGTATCGACCTTACAGCCCCGGGATGGCCGTTTGTTAGATTGAATATATACTTCCGAGCATCTCGGTCAACAGTGTACTTTTTCAACGAGTTGATTAGAACATAATTTTGTTATAACCACTTCAAACTTTGCCGTAGAATAGACCTATTGGCGGTGAGCCTAGTTCGAGCAATAGAGTTACTGGTGTCCCATAATCTTCCTTGTTGTATGGCATACC